ACACCTAAGTTTAAGGATCCCTATAAAAATAGGTTCGAGTCTACTAACCAGAACAGGGTTCGAGAGTTCGATTACATGTGAAGATGGTTATAGCACCCTCATAACGCCCATCAAAAGATGGTACCAGCTTAATTTTGTGTTATCCAACAAGCCTTAAAAATTTACCAAGTAATTAGTTGTTGAAATTATTCTCAATTGATTCTAATACTTTTAGCAAAAAATTGAGAAAATCCCCTCTCCTCAAGAGTATGTAAAAAAACTACTGTTTCACTTACAAAGGCTCCATCGTTGGATTATTTAAAAAGAAAATAAAAAGAAAGAAGAAAACAATGACTGCTTTTGTGTAAGAAAAATTGATACTTTCAATTTTTTCTTAAAAAAAACCTTTTTTAAAAATTTATTTTTAAAGAAAATTGATACTTTCAACTTTTTCTCAAAAAAAATCTTTTTTAAAAATTTATTTTTAAGAAAAATTGATACTTTCAACTTTTTCTAAAAATATTTTTTTGAAAAGTTTATTTTCAAGGAAAATTGATACTTTCAACTTTTTTTCAAAAATATTTTTTTTAGATTTTATTTAAAGAAAATAAAATAATAAAATAAAATAAAAGTGAAAATAAAATTAAAAATAAAGAAAAGTAAAATAAAAATAAAATAAAGATAAAAGTAAAAGAATATTAAACAAATCTAATATAATAATAATAATAATAAATAAATAAATAAATAACGAAAAAAAAAACCTGGGAACGGCTAGGCTTAACGGCTCGGCTCGACTCGGCTTGAGGAAAAAAAACAGCTCGAAGACTGGGTTCAGGATTCTAACACACAAAAACTTTTTTTTAGCTTCTGTTTCTTCTCTGTGTCTGCCTTTTTTTGTGTTTTCTTCTGTTCTTCCAGCACCTATTTATAGGAATTGATCAGAAGAGTTTCTAATCAATCTCAACTCTTTCTGAGATTTGGATTCAATCTTTGAATCCAATCTCAACTCTGTCAATTCTCAAATTACAGCTAAATTCATTCCAATTTTTTTATCTTAATCTTAACTGAAAATTAATCAAAATAAAAAGATAAATATATTAATAGATAACAAAAAAAATAATTAGATAAATAAAAAAATAGATAAGTAATAATAAAAAATAAAAGTAGATAAATAATAAAAATATTAATAGATGAAAAATAAAATATATATATTAAATAATAAAAATAAAAATAAAAACCTATTGAGGTCAGCTAATTGGATCCTAAACCGAGTCCAATGAGCCTAGACCCAAATCCTATTAGATCAAGGCCCAATGAGTTTGGATCCGAACTAAATAGGGTGTCTACATTGTCAATTTATGAGTTTGATATATTTTCAAGAATGAGGCTGTCATTTGCCTTTTGGAATACAAAGCCATTTTTATTTAATTCCGTTACTTATGTTAGGAACTTGCCTTTTAGAGGAGAGTGAAGAGCATGCAGTTTAGATTAATCTCGCCTGGCAGTATCCTTTCAGTGGATGGTGCAAATTCCCAGTTCATGGACTCTGCAGTGAAATTCTAAACTGATAAAAGTAGGCATTTTCAGCTATCCTTTGAGCTTTGGTTGAGTTATAGTGCCGGTGGAAACTAATACCATTAATTTCCACCTCAAGGAGAAGGTGGTCCAAGAGGAGAGGGAGCAACGGCAGAGATTAAAGACATTGAATACGGGTTTTGGTCTTGAACAGATACAAGCTAGTTTAGTAGGGTTAGGTGACGGTACAAAGTCTCTGTGGGCTTCATTTTTATGGGCCACATATCTCTAAGTTTGTCTTGAATCAGAGAAATATAATACTAGAATTTAAGAAGTGGTCCAGGAATCAAACATTTATCAAAGTTTGTCTTGAACTACACTATTGTTTTTTAATGTATCTATTCAAAGTTTCATTTGTAGCAGCCATAAACCCAATAGTTGTTCCCTAAATTTTCTGCTGACAAGACAAATTATAAAGCCATGAAAGTGAAGGGATGAGTAGTAGACTACTTTTTTACCAACAGCTTTCTATTTCTACCCCTACAGAAATAACTTTTGACCCAAGAATATGCTGTTTCTAAGTATTCCAATGCATATAAATTTGACAAATGTAGTTTTTTTTTTTTTATTTTGTACTTGCAGAAACAGAAGGGGATGTATATTTATTTCTCCAGTGCAATGATTCTTGCACAGGCTGTTAAAAAAATTATTTGCTTGGAAAAGGAATGCTATTGCTATACGTTGCGGGTTTAAAAAGGTCTGAAGCTTTTTCACATCTGCTAACCTCAGCTAGCAGCTCCACAACAGCTTATGATAGTTGTTTATACAAGAGTTTTCATGGGACCTTTTTTTCACTTTCTGACAATTCACTCAGGCACTCACTTTCACAGCCATAATGATTCCTCTTCCTTTTGTTAAAAATGAAAAAATGGGTGAATCCGTTTTCCTCAACATCTTTATCATTATCCCTGCAAATCCTCCAGGATGGTTACTCAGATGCTCTCACATTTTTGTTGCTACCAGCTATTATAACATATGATAAAGATGAATAAAATGCTTGACTTCATTGACACGAAAAGATCAATTCTCAGTCTTTTTATAGTTGGAGCATCCCTTATTTGTTAGTAGTACTAGCATTTATTTTTCTCTATTTTGCTCAAACTTTTTTTTTTGTAGGTATGGATTACAAGTGGACGCTAGTATTAGCATTAGTTCATTAGCATATATGTTGCAGAAAAAGAGCAAGAAACAGGCCATATTCCACAAGAATATATATGTAACATCTATGGCCCCCTACAACCCATACTCCTTGGCATCAGATCCTCTCCCGACATGACATGTTTACAACATTATTATCCCAAAAAAAGACATCTTTGCAGATGAAGCTGTGAACCATTAAAATTGAATGTTTTGGAGAATAACAGGCCAATTCATTAATCCCAGAAAAAGGAGTAGAATAAAGAAATAGTACCCCAAAAAAAAAAGTCAACACAAGAACTAACAATCTGGATTTTCCTTTATCTAAAAGAAGTGTACTAATTACTAAGCGGAAATATAATGGTGAGATAAAGTAAAGGCTACGCAATCCTACGGACCGGACAGATTCTTCGGCCTAACCATGGTTAAGAGAAATGAGGCCCCTCTCCATTGCCAACTCGTGAAAAATGGGAATAAAGGAGCCAGTGACCTCCACAAGTCTTTCTCCAGGTGAAACGGAGAGAGACAAAGAGAAAGGAGGAGATGTCGGACGAGGAACATCACTTTGAGTCAAAGGCGGACGCCGGAGCCTCAAAGACCTATCCTCAGCAAGCTGGTACCATCCGCAAGAATGGCTACATCGTCATCAAGGCCCGTCCTTGCAAGGTCTTTAACTTAATCCTGTTCTTTGTTTCTTTGGCTTAGCAACAAAAAAAAAAAATCATGTTCTTTGCTGTTATCAACTTGTATATGGGTTTTTGTTTCTTTTTCGATCTCTCATGGTTATATTTTGATTCTGTTGATGATTAATTATGCATCTGTTTAATGGGTACTCCTTGTTTTCCTGTTTACTATGTGGGCTTAATTTGAGTACTTAGAAAATGGTTGATTGATCATTGTTGCTTTGTTGGGAGTGTAGACATGTTATAGTGATTCAAAGTTCTTTAGATTGGGGCAGAAAAATCATGGTTATCAAATTAAGTTAGGCCTTGGAAAAGCTTGATAGAGTAGAGCCTTTCAAACTTAAAAAGAGCTGTAAAATTCTATGCTCGTTGGTGTGTAGATAGATTAGTTTACACCCTTCGCCAGCATTTCTCCATGACATTATTAATTCCTAGACTATGGGAATTCCTTTTGTTGAACAAACATTCCCACAGTACAATTATATATGCTGTTAACAAAAGGGCTCTGCTTTCTTTGTCTCGGTATAAGTGATTCACTTTTGCTTTCTTCATAATTTATAATCTGTTTGTTATCTTTTTCACCAAATTAAAACAGGTCGTAGAAGTTTCAACTTCGAAGACCGGCAAACATGGACATGCAAAGTGCCACTTTGTGGGCATTGATATCTTTAATGGGAAAAAACTTGAAGATATTGTTCCTTCATCCCACAACTGTGATGTAATGTTATTCTTAAGTTTCGATGTTACAACTTATACGTATAACCTTTACCAGTTACCCCATCTCAATTCACTCCTTTCTTCTGCATAAGCAGCTAATTTACTTGTTTTCTATCTTCTCTCACAGGTTCCCCATGTTAATCGTGCTGATTATCAGCTGATTGATATCTCTGAAGATGGTTTTGTAAGTTGTTGAGCATATGTTCATAACTAGATACCTTTTCTTCTATTGGTTCAAATGCTTAGTTTTATATGTGAAGCAAATATTGCCTGAGTATCAGAAATATGACAGATGAATTCAGTAATTAATTCATTGAACTTGTGTGTCATGTAGGTTAGTCTCTTAACTGAAAATGGAAACACCAAGGATGACCTAAAGCTTCCCACCGATGAAAATCTGCTTAGCCAGGTATATCATAAGGATAGTCTAAGTTTCAGCAACCATTTTTATAATTATAACCCATTTTCTATCTAGTGATTAAATTCTGTGTTTACACTTAAATGTTTGCAGATTAAAGATGGGTTTGCTGAAGGAAAGGAGCTTGTGGTGACAGTCATGTCCGCAATGGGAGAGGAGCAGATTTGTGCTCTCAAGGACATTGGTTCTAAAAATTGAATATCTCCTGTTATAGCTTTATTTGCTGACAGAGAGTTTTGCATACTATGCATGTGTGCAAGAAACCCTTGTTCAGATGGTATTTTAACATTGTAATCTTCAGGTTTATGGAGAACTGCTGATCCCTGGATGAAGGGAGCTTGTATCAACAGCAGGATGGAATTTATATATAGCCCTATTTCTATGTCATATTCATTAATATTTGGTTGGGTTTGAGCATCGATCTAAGGCCTTTAAGGTCTCATGTTTCTTTCCAACTAGATAAAAATGTTTCTTTTCCGCTCAGTGTTAGCTGGGATAGTTCTTGAACCAATTTGTGTTTATCGCTGGAATTTCTGTAGGTATTCGTAGACCCTCTCTCTAGTGATACGCACGCCGTATATTAGAGGAAAGTTGGTTTTATCATATCAATTCTGTTTCGTGTACCTTCAGCCCAGGACCTTTCCTGGAATATTAGCTGCATAAATCTATGATTTAGTCGAATTATGATGTTTTGATCTCGCAAAGCCCAAAAATAGAGATCCAATAAAAAAACCCGGTATGCAGAAGTAGTAGGCTAGTAGCACAAAAATTGTCTTTACAATCCCAATGTCAGATAATGAGTACGCATTTCCTTGTCACAACGGACTCCCAACATAATTCAATACAACAAAACCAAGTAAAATTCTTGCAAAACTGAAGGAACATAATTCTCAACAGAAATTTATGATCGGGATAACTTGCTCCCAGGGGAAGTGCCATAGATGTAGGAAGCAAATCCCCAAAAGGTTATGACCAGAGAGAGGATCTTGAAGCCGCTCATCGGGTCATGTAACAGTATGACAGCAGCAATGCTTGTGAGTGGTACCCTAACTGCATTCAGAACACCAGCCATCACAGTGGACGCCAGGAAAAGCACAGCAGTGGCTCCTAACACACCAAACTGAAAAGTAATTACACCCCAAATAAGAACCAGATTGTATGCAGTTTCCCCACCCTCGAAAGTTTTAGCCTCGGATACCATTCCTTGGAAATCGTGGTTAACTACTACCCCAATTGTAGTAAACACAAAGGCAAAGAATGAAACCATGACTTGTTGCTCCAAAACAACATGTAAGGACCTTCTGCCCAAGAACTTCACAAAAATCAACTCTGAAAGAGCAAAGATAAGGCCATGGAGTGCTGATCCCAAGATATCCCATACAAAACCCCAAATATATTGGCTGTTAGTGATACTGGGATACCTATCAGAATCTGAATCTAATGCAATCAAGGTCACAGCAGCAGTTATTATCACAATAGCATTTATTATTGAACCATTCAGTCTGTTCTTCACAATCAAGAAACCAAACAGTGCAGAAAAGACTAGGGATGATGATGCCAAAAGAGCTGCAGTTGATGCCGGGAGATAGGCATAGGCATATGCATACATGAGATTATCAGCAGCACTTAAGAGCCCCAGAAAAACATAAGAAAGGAACAGATATAAATTGAGAGGAGTAGGGGAAGTTTTAAAAAACAGGTACGTAGGAAATAAGATCATAGCAGGTATTGGCCATCCGGCAACTGCTACCCATGAAATGATCCATTTGCTGGTTCCCCCATTAGCAAAGTAGACACGAGATAGAAGGCTTGAAGCAGGAAATGCCACAAGCATCCCCAAAGTGCTTAGAAATAGAAGAATCCAACGTGAAATTGGCTTGCTTTTGTATGCTTCCCAAGCCATGGTCTTAACCTTGGAAACCCATCCTAACAGTGAAGAACTTCCTGATGAAACCTCCTCTTCCTCCTCCATCCTATCTCCTAACATCAATCAAGAAATATAGGATCCAAAGAAAATAAAGGTAAATTCTACTTCTTCCTCTTTTATTTCAAAGCTTAGACAATCAGGCAAACAGAAACAAACAAGAAGTCAAGTACCAGAACCTTCAGAAAAAGGACAACAGAGAAAAACACAGTCACTATAAAAACCGATAATTAGAACTCGAAAACATGAAGAACTTTATTAACCCAGACAAAATTCAACAAGAATTTTACTGAAGAAAAACAGTCAGCGTGAGAAGTACAGAGGACGAACCTTCCTGGAGTAGCACTTCTTGCATTTCTTTAAGTGTTTCCGTATGGGGTATTTGTTTGTGGAATTCGGATTTGATGTGAATCAAATATCTAATATTATACTAACATTTCAATTCTTCATGTTTTTTAAAATCATTTCATAGCTGATTATTACTGAATGGCTGTACAGCTACGGTCAATGACAGAGTGCACCACTTTGTAATTAGATGGGCACTGACAGTTCAATATTTGCCAGCCAATAATCAATCAACATAGTGGTAACTTTCTATATTTTTGTTGATATTCTACAATTTCTGGTGGGCAAATCCTATACAAGCCTAAAGCCTATGGTCAGCTCTTTTGTCTAGTCTTTTTAGTAATTACTAATTAGAAAGCTTGAGTTGGTTACCTTTCAGTTATAATTTACTCTGCTGTGCTGTTCAATTTACCTTAAACAGCATGAACATGCTTTGCAACTGGCACTTGCTGCTACTTGGTCTAGCTAAGTCGGAATCAATCTAAAGTGCTTCTTTTCAATATTCCAGATATTGGTTTTATCTTGATGGCTTTGCAGTATTGGATTAGTAATTGGTTTTCTCAGTGCTTGAATACCTATGTGCCTAAGTTTCTTAGAAAATAAAATATAAAAAAAATTTCCAGATTTTGGTATTTGAATTTTTCATTTGCTGAATATTATTTATGTCAAGGTGATTCAAATCTTGTTTTTTAATAAAAAATCATTGATTAATTATTAAACTATATTCTCAGATGCAAACCTTCTTAACTACTTTAAACACATGCTTGTAGTGTCATTCAGCTTCAATCATGGTGATCATGTCCTTGTCTGTCAGTCTACAAACTTGAACCACTTTCTAATTCCATTTTTACAACCCTAGTGTTTTCTCTTCCATTATTATTCTCACTCATGTCACGTCTAATGGCAACCAAACATGTCAATTACTACCATGAACTATGCAATTCTTCTCCTTAGCAATGGAATAATTATGTACAAAACTAACAAGTTTTTCTTCACTAATATCATGCTTGGTAAGAACAGAGAAAATGTTTGAAGTAAGCATGTCAAACATGCTAGCCATGTACATTACTAAATAAATTTTTTTTTTTTGGTAAGAATAAAAATAGATTAAAAAAATAAAAAAATTTAAAAATAGATAAGCGAATCTTATTCCTAAATTATGCTCTTTTACTAAAAAACTAGAAATATTCCCACAACATATCAAGAATGGACTTCCCCTGCCAAGACCCAAAAGAAAAAAAAAGTTTAATAAAAAATAAAAATAATATAAATAGAAAAAATGCCACAGAAAAGAAAGGGGCCTCTGATGTCTGGGTCAACAGTCCATGTAACAAAAAACCCACCAAAACGCCGTGAATCAAAAGAAAGCGTCAAAGGTCAACAAAATCAACGGCGATCCTCCGCAGCTAAAGTAACGGAGAAATCAACGGCGTTTCCGTTACACAGAAAAACCACCTGGGAACACAGAGACGAGTCAATTCAAGTCAAAGAGACACATATACCCTTTCTCTCACTTTCTTTTAAAGCAACGCCTTCTCTCTCTCCTCTACTCCGATGCCATTTCGCCTTATAAATATTGTTAAAACGACACGTACTCTTTTTTCTCGGTCTGAAACAAAAAAAAAAAAAAAAAAACCAGTATCCAGACTTTTTCTAGAAAGCAGAGAACAGAAAAATAAGAGCACGAAAATTGTTTGTTTGCTTTACTCTTTCTTTCGCTGAGGAAAAACCGGGCATGGCTGAGACTGAGAGCCAAACGCAGCAGACGAAACGACATGAGGAACAGCGAAACGACGATTTAGAAGGAGAAGAGGAGGAGGAAGAGGAAGAAGAAGAGGACGAGGACGAGGTGGAGGAGGAAGAGGAAGAGGAAGAAGAAGGAGTGAGTCGAGTCAGAGAGTCACGAGGTGCTGGAATGGCGCCTTTGACTGATGCTAAGTTGAGAGAATCTCAATTGGAAACCCTAACGAATTATGATCGTTGCGAGGGTAAGTTCTTTGCTTATTTTTTGTGAGTGTTTTATGGAAGAATTTCGTTTTTTTCCCCCTAATGTTTTAAAAGCTTAGCTTTTTTTTTTTTTTTAATCTTGGAATGATTTTGATGGAGTATGGGGTGATCTCTCAGGGTTGCAGGAGAATTCTACTTCGGAATCGAAGGAAGGAGCTGAATTACAGGTTAGCAGTTTAGTTTTTTTAGATACTATAATCCTATTTGACTTTCATTTATAACTTTTTTGTTTTCAAAATTTGAGACTATGGTGTTTTACTGTTCTTTTTTTTATCTGTTTGCTTGAACTCTGTACTTTCTGTTTTTGTTCTTCTAGGCGTAGTTTGGTTCGTTATAGGTTTGATTATCATACCGATTTTGTGACGGTGTTTTTTGGGGCTTCTGTTCTTTAGTTGGAAATTAGAATTATATTTCATTTACGGTGTATGGATTAATGACTTTGTTGGCTTAAAGTTTGTCCTTTTATGCTATGTTCCCTTGAAATTATGTTACTGAATAAGTGCTTTGCGCTTGAAATATTGTGTTGAGTGACACATCAAATGCTTCTCGTCTCCCAGTTTCCCCTTGCTTATTATGCGTGGTAGTGCTTTTCTTTTTAAGGATTTTGGAGATTCATGAAATGACTGTTAATCAAGGATTAAAATTCATAGTGTATCTTAGCATTACACAAGTAGCCAATGAGGCATTTTAAAATTCTTATTGTATCTTAGCATTGCACGAGTAGCCAATGAGGCCTTTGGTCCTGTGGTAAATGGACTAATTAGAATTATTGATTATCATACCGATTTTGTGACGGTGTTTTTTGGGGCTTCTGTTCTTTAGTTGGAAATTAGAATTATATTTCATTTATGGTGTATGGATTAATGACTTTGTTGGCTTAAAGTTTGTCCTTTTATGCTATGTTCCCTTGAAATTATGTTATTGAATAAGTGCTTGGCACTTGAAATATTGTGTTGAGTGACACATCAAATGCTTCTCGTCTCCCAGTTTCCCCTTGCTTATGTTGAGTGACACATCAAATGCTTCTTGTCTCCCAGTTTCCCCTTGCTTATTATGCATGGTAGTCCTTTTCCTTTTAAGGATTTGGAGATTCATGAAATGACTGTTAATCAAGGATTAAAATTCATAGTGTATCTTAGCATTACACAAGTAGCCAATGAGGCATTCTAAAATTCTTATTGTATCTTAGCATTGCACGAGTAGCCAATGAGGCCTTTGGTCTCGTGGTAAACGGACTAATTAAGGTCCTCGGAATTTGCAAGTTAGAATGCCCCATCACTCCGACTGGTTGTGCTTTCACAGACACGTACAAGCACCTGTGGTTCAGTAAAGTTGAATTATAGGATGTGGTAGTTCCTCAAATCAAGTGTACTCCTTTGTTAAAGTTCTCATCTTTAAATGCCAATTGAGACCTAATCTCTTACTGCTAATATTAATGAAAAATTCTTGCAAATTTGTTGGTGTATTAGCTCAAGGCTCTAATTTATCTTTAATATAAAAGTGGAGGCTAAAGGATAAAGCCTATATCAAATTCAATGGCAAATAGATGGGCTGAAGGATGCAGAAATCATTCCTGCAAACATTTAATCATCCCTGTCAAAGCTCTTCCTCCTTACAACTCAATTTTGTCAACTTTTACTCTTTTGGTGATGATATATGTTGTCCTTTAAGTTAGAGCATTAAATGAGTTCTTTAAAGCAATTATAGTGATGTGGAAGATCTATGAGGCCACCGGTTTTTTAGGAACTTCATGTCTTATCACTTCAGTTTCTCCTAGAGAAAACAAACTGATAAAAGTACCAGAAACGAGAAAGGATATATGTAAAATTAAGTTTCTCTGTGATTGAATTGTTCTTTCAATTGAGTTCCTCTTTGTTTAATTTTCTTAAGGAGCAAGTTGAGATAGCCCACCCAGAAGTTTTGCCTAGTTCAGCTGTCCAGGGGGCAGAAGTTCCGACACAAAATCCACTCCAGTCATCTGTTTCTCCAACTTCTTTGCCACAATTGTCACCAACTTCCTTTACACAAGGTATTTCATCTGCTTCCATTCCAACTCTATCGGAACAAAGCCTTGCAGATCAGAAGATTAATGGTGCATCCCTTCCAGAATCAAACCAGCAAAAACCTTCTAATCTTAGAACAGTCTCTGTTGTTCCCATTGTGAAGAAACCAATATCTGATGGTTATAACTGGCGGAAATATGGTCAGAAGCAAGTGAAGAGTCCCAAAGGTTCGCGAAGCTATTATAAATGCACATTCTCTGATTGTCGGGCCAAAAAGATAGAATGCTCTGATCACACAGGCCATGTAATTGAGATTGTTAATAAAGGCATGCATAGTCATGAACCACCATGGAAAAATAACTTTCCAAGGGAAAGTAAGATTGTATCGTCTGCTGTGCCTGTTTCTCGGAATATCATTACAGAACACCCCATCAGAATACCTAATGATTCTGATCCATCCACATCTTCTAAAGAATCTGTACCCGAAACAACTGTAAACCCTGAAAGAAAACGACAGTGCTCAAGTGGCTCTGATGGGAATGGCGATGTGCAAGTGAAGGAAGAGCTTTTGAGTGAACCAGAGCCAAAAAAAAGGCAAGTTTTCCTGTGAATTTCCCTTTCCCTTCGTTCTTTTTGCCTTCATGACAAATGTGTGTATGTGATGTTTATCATTAATGGAAAAGCCTGTTTGCGAATCTGGTTTTAATGGTTTCTGATTATTTTTGATGACCAGGATGAAGAAAGGTGATGCAGTTTGTTCTGGTTCTGTCCTAAAAACTGGGAAAAAACCTAAATTTGTTGTGCATGCAGCTGGTGATGTGGGGATCTCAGGTGATGGATACAGATGGCGAAAATATGGGCAGAAAATGGTGAAGGGAAATCCTAATCCCAGGTGCCTGTTCACTTCTCATTATTTTTCTTAAAGGTTTTATTTTTTATCCCTTTAAACCATTACTCAATGTGCATGACTGCTCGGGCTTTTATCATTGTAATTTTATGTTATGGTGGCTTGCTTCTTTACACGTCTACATTATCTTTCTTTTATTGAAATATTGGAAAAACCATTCATTCGTGCCATGGAGTTTTATGACAATTAATACTAAAGGTTCCAGTTTGATGACAATTAATACTAAAAGGTTACAGCAGTCTCAGCACTCAAAGCTCTTTTATTGTGCTTTGCAAAGCGATGTAGGTTCATTTTGTTTTACATGCTATATATATTTATACATCTCTCCCAAACCAATGTGCATCATCCTCTGAGACAGATGTTCAAGAGTCTGCATTAATGAGGCTTTTTTTTTTTTCCTTCATTATGACCAATTTGGTAGCCTTAAAAGCTCATTCTGATCTTTTGGTTGATGAATGTTTTCTAGGAACTACTATAGATGCACTTCTGCTGGGTGTCCTGTTCGGAAGCATATTGAGACAGCTGTAGATAATACAAATGCCGTCATTATAACATATAAAGGTGTTCATGACCATGACATGCCTGTACCAAAGAAGCGACATGGCCCACCAAGTGCTCCTCTTGTTGCTGCTGCTGCTCCTGCTTCTATGAACAACTTACAACATAAAAAAACCGACGGAGTGCAAAACCAAGTTACATCAACCCAGTGGTCAGTGGGTACTGAAGGTGAATTGACTGGTGAGGCCCTAGACCTTGGAGGTGAGAAGGCAATGGAATCAGCTCGAACGCTTCTGAGTATTGGATTTGAAATCAAGCCATGCTGAACTTGATGGGACTTTTATGTTGTTAACATCAGCCATGTCTCCTTATAAATTATTGAATGGTGAGGTTTGATCTATCGTATTTTTAGTTTTGTTTGTTATCGATGTAGTTTCCAGTGAGTCTGTATATTTTTCCGTTGTATTCCCACTCAATCTGGTTGGAACAAGTTTATAGTGGTGGAAACAATATAGATTTGATTGGCAACCCGTTTCTGTTTTTTTTTTTCAATGACATGAGCCGGAATTTAGGAGCACGGCTATGCATGTTTATTGGGCGACAGCAGTCAAGTGATACGCAGTTCACGAGGCAAATTTTCAATTGTCGATCATAAATCACAGACTATTATGCCGGATGATTCTTGTTGGCCATTTGCAATGCTATTAGTCGGATGCCATTTTTTTTTTCGCTAGACTTAAGTGATTATTAGTGGATAGCAAGTTAGATGCAGTTAATTCTAGGTTAATAACGGCAAAATTTTCCTATATAAAACTGCTTACTGTGGGCAAATATACATTCAATGCTGGATTGTTTAGGCACATTTGATTTAATTAAATAATATACTGGAAAACTTTCTGTCGGCCTTTTTGTGGTCACCGATTCTATTCTTCGGAGGTGGCTTTGACCTATGCTTGACTTGTCTCGTTTGGTGAGATGATAATTGATCAATTTTATTTGTCGTCCTGTTCCTATTAAAGGTTACTGACCAATGTTAATCTCCTTATGAATCTGACTTACCAAAAAAAAAAAAAGTTGCTTCAAAGATCAAACTATTCCTTTGATCTGGTCAAAAACCAAATTTGCTTTGCCTGATTTGTTTGGTTTGACAAGATGGAAAATGCCAAATCAAGTTTTGCTGCTAAAAGTATTTGGACACCATGGTAAGTTTACAATAACATCTAGTTGATTTGGCAACTCAAGATTAAAAGCCAACAAGCCCTGCATTTTGTTCAGATTATCTTCATACATTTCAAAACCATATACTGATTCTTAATTTTTTTGCATAGAAAGTGGTGGAGATGAAAAAATAATTTCATGTATAAAAATTTGACTATCAAATTTACTCAATATCAATTTTTAAAGATAATTATATGCATCAATTAAATTAAATTTTATATTCAAAATTATTCTTAATTTGAACGGGAGTTAGAGATTGTAATCTTTACTATTTGGCATGTAAAGAACATCTAAATTAGGGACTTCAAAATTTCTAGAAGGCATCTACAAGTTACCGTCCAGATCTTGTACAAAGCCTAGTAGGACTACATAAGTACAGCTTGGAAGTTTTCTAGGCTTTTTCAGGCACAGCATCCATCGAGCCATTATTATGTCAAAAAAAGAAGGAAACAGAGGTACCCTACATCATTAGTAATATTGGGTCCCAACAGAAGAAAGCATGTCTTGTAAGATGCACTCCTCCCCCGTCCTTTAGGACATACTAACATTTTGCCCCTAACCCTTTGTGACATACATTTAAAGCAAATCGACTTGTCAGTGTAAGTTTTAGCTGTCAAGCAACTTAAAGCGTTAATACTTAATAAATCCACCCACAACCAGTCCCACTTAATAACAGAATGGTCAAGAATCTGATGGCGAAAGATCCAGTGGCAATTTCCTGCAGCCTGCAGCTTCAGAAGCCAGTGTCTAGTATATTAAATATGATCTCTAATTGCTATCCTTTTCAACTATACAAATAAATGGTACATCATGTTTTAAGACTTCCATGACAGACAGGCCCCATCAACAGCACATTCACCAGTTAATTTTAACTTACTTTTTTAGAAATCTACAATCTAGCAAATTCATGATGCAAAAGTATTCATGAAAATTTTATACACGACCACCTTTCATTACTACCCAAAAAGTAAAGAGTAGTGAATCAGTCAACACGGTAAACTGATGATCGGACCTGGAGCACCATATGCCACCAGCCAACATCATTCTGAGGAGAAACTCAATTCATCAATAGCTATGGATAATTCTGATTCTATAACACTATCAATTTTTTTCTCTTCAGGCATATCTTTGATCCCATTTTCTTCTTTTCCTTCTGCCGCTGTTATACACTCCTGGAATCTGAAACAACTTGTGAGATGGTCGTTTGTTATTCCCGCCACTTGCATGAAAGAGTAGATGACTGTGGGCCCCACGCTTCGAAAACCCCTTCTTACCAGATCTTTGCTTATTACATCTGCTTTTGGAGTTTTAACTGGAACCTGGCGAGGATATCTGAATCTGCTAACTATAGGCTTGTGGTTCACAAAACTCCAAATATACTCGTCGAATGACCCAAACTCACCTATAACCTGGCATCAGCAAAACCTGCAAAAAGTTAGTTGCAATGATAATCACAGCCACTATGGAGAGTGCAATTATGGTACTTCAGTAACGAGGGCTATTGGTTAATGATGGAACATAATTAAATCATATGAATGACTTGGGATTTATCAACTAAGCAAGCTGGCATCTAATAAATAGGAATAATTAAGTTTCCTCACTCGTTAAATATAATAAATATATCTAATCAAATAGTTGATTGTAGTCTTTTGGTTTGTCCTATTTGATTCAAACATATGCAGGACCACTATTCACCTACTTTTCACCTAACCTACTCAAATAAGTGATCGCTAAGCATCTTTTATATTTGTCTAATCGTTTGCTAAAACAAGAGAGAACAACGTGAGTGGTCCTAATATTGGGTGTGACAATCAATTCAACGAATTCTGAATCCGGAGATATATGGGTAAAATAAGCCCCGTAGGACAGAAGATGCCCAGAAGTGTGCTACTATCTTGCTAAATAACATCAAATTAGATGTTCCACCATGTAAACAACTTCAGTAGAGCAAAGTTTTTTGTTATATTCCATCTAATTACAGATTGTTATTTGCGTGTGCTGCTTACGAGTGATTTAGCGGGCACTACTTTCATGGCAACCAAGGTTTAAAAAATGGTGAAAAGAAGAACGAGAATCTACCTTAGATATTTGGCGTGCATTCTCAATGATGGCACGTAGCTTTAGTTCTGATAACAAGGAACTTGCCATGCTACCAGGTGCTATTAACTTCTTCTCATTCAATTTTGATACAGCAACAGGATCAAAATCCACAAAAACTTCCCTGCATAAAAGATACACTTCAGAAATGAGTCTGCTTATTCAATGGAAATAAGATGGAACCTCTGTGGGAACAATACCTAAATAAGTGCCTTTTGCTTAGGATAGCAGGCCATGTAAGTTCAGACAATGCACCGGAAAGTACAAGCAGCTCAAACAATTTCCTGCATATGAATAATAATATCAAGCAAAGTATTCATCAAATGAAATTCTTTTACCAGAGTGGTAGCTTGTTTAATCAATAAACAGACACAGGCAATATTGGGATCACATACTTGTCATCATGTACAGGAACTCCCCACTCTTCATCATGGAAAGCAGCATAAATTGGATCTGATTGCAACAAACAAAACTAAGTCAGCAGAAAACATGAAATAAGAGCAATTAAAGCATCGAGGCCCTTAACTGGAATAAAACTCTCTCCAAAAGTTACTTGAAGATGTAACCCTAACATATTGAAATAGTCTGTTAGACAGTCTTTCACTTCAAATATAATGCCTGAAACTCTGAATGTGTAACTAATTTGCATTCATGCTATTACTTCCATATCTTGCAAATGGTGATAACTGTACAAAACTTACAAATATCAAGTAAATGGATTGTTGATGAAGTCAGAAAGATAAAATATAAGGCAATTTAACCTATTTATCGATAAATCATAAAAATCTGTAAAAATACTAGAATAGTATCAAGTATCAAGTTACAATATATATTATCAGATAGCACTGAAGCATGCTAGGATAATTTCTTTTTCATGGATTAGGAAAATCTGAGGACCAACTAATCTATCTAACAAACTTCTTATTCAGAGTGCCTCTACTAGCTCTATTCTGGTCTTCAGCTGACAACATGGTTTCCAATCAATGGTCATTGGCCAGCATAATATGGAGTTGCACTAGAATGAACCAGACCAAACCCAAAAGAATCATCCTTTGGAAATGCATACATGATAAAGCAAACTCACCCTCATGACTTGTCTCATTGCCTCAGTTCACATGACAAATCTTGTGCATAATAATGTTTTTTTACAAGACCAATAACTCATTGGAGAATAGCGTATAACTATATATATACATCGGAAAGTCTGATTTCCGTACATACAGTAAAGTCTGGCAATAATAAGTAAAAAACACCATTTATTTTTGCAAAAGTTAAAAAAAATTGAGATGCCACCATAGATGGTTCATTTGGGTAGATGCTGAAGCCTCAACTTTCCTTGCGCTCTATGACTGTATTAATCAAACCTAACCTAATAATGCAGTTTCAGGATTGAAGAACTTGAAAGACATAAATAATACAAAAAGAATTACTTGATTCTTAGTGCAGAACCACAAAAATGATAATCCTATTCTTAATGCCCGTGGTGATGGCCATCCCAAATAATTCTTTTGGTTATGACATTCGGAAGGTATATGTAGGGGAATTTTCTCTAACCTAATAAGAGAAAGTAGCATTAGGAAGAAAATGTTAACAAAAAATTTCTAATCAACCATGAGAAAACACTGAGAAATTAGAGGACACAACAACACACCTGTATTTGGTGTCACCCATGCACATCTCTTCTTCTGATGTGAACCATCAGGTGGCGAATCCAAACTACCATCAGAAACAACGCTTCTAGGCTTTGATGGGTATGGCTTCCGTCTACTTCCTACGCTATTTGAACGAATTAACCTACCAGTAGATGCTCGACTGTGAAAAGAATCCGTGGAAGCATCGGATGAACATGAAGCATTTAGTGATAAATTAGAATGTAACAACTGCTCATGGCGGCGTAGCACTGAAGGAACACTAACAGAATGCGTTTTTGGAGAAAGTGAATTAACTGTAGATGATGGAAGGGCTTTTTTCTCCTCTGCTACAGTGACATCAACTGGAGACTTTTCAACTTTTCTTGAAGGCTTTGAAGCTAGTTTTCTTGCACTCAATGAACCTGCCTTGTTCCCCGCAGGTCCCAGTACGGGTCTGGCCTCAGAATCGGCGACATTCATCGACCTTAATCTTGGAGCACCGGACATAGATTAAGAAATCTCTCAAATCAACACAGAGTATCGAGATCTCAGCTTTATTTAAACCTCAAAGCAGACCTAAGTTGCCACTTTATCAGCTCTTTCCCTTTAGTTCACTCCAATCCTCAACATTGCCTATCCAACCCTCAAAATTATCAAAAACCCACTAATAAAATCCAGAAAATCATCATATTCCTCATAAATAGAAAGCTTAAGCCACTTCAAAAACCCTTTAACATAAACAATTGCATAGATACTTTCAACTTACAGTACATACATTCATCAATCAGTCCCTTGAAAACTCCAAAAACAGATCTCAGCCTGTCACCACAGAAAACTGCCTCAAATTTACAATTCTACCGCCCACTCTAAGCTTCATTCAAATTCTAAAAAACCCACAGAGCTATCTCATTACCATCCAAAATTCACCTCGCAAAAAACCTCATTTCTCTTATCCTCAAAGTCTTCAAAAATCAGCTCGAAAACCCTAAAAACAAATACCCAAATACAAAGTTAGACAAAAATGAGATCACTTTTTAAGAAGCAGAAGCTAAAGGTTCAAACTTTAAAGTTCAAAAAAAAAAAAAAAGAAAAGGAAAAAATGGGATCAGGTTGTATATTCATTTGAAGCATTCAAATTTACCCACGAAAAATAGATATTCCATTCTGCATTGTGGATAACGAGAGAGAGAGTTTCTGTTACCTCAAAGGAAAAAGTTTTTGCAGTATTTGTTTATGAAACTGTGTCGTTTCAGTCACTCGATTAAGAAAAAAGCTGACACAATTGCTGGAAATTCCATACTTTCTTCCTCTTTCTTTTCCGAGAAAATGCGGGAAAGTGACCAAGAAATTCAATCGGAGACTTGAAGAGAAAAAAAAAGAGAGATCGGTCTATGAGAATTGAAATTACAATATCTATAATTTAGAGACAGAATTAAAGAACCAATGAGTGGAAAGAGAGAAAAGTAAAGATTGGCCTTTTGTTTACAGTATTTTATTTGGGATTTGGGAGTGACCGGTTTATTACCTGGTATTCCCGGTAACTTTTTGGACTGTTTTTTTAAATATTTTTGTTGAGATTTAGGGTTTATATTTTAGTTGAGATTTCTTTTCTTATATTATACCACTGCTGGTAAGAAATAAGGTTTCCACTCAATCAAATGTCAAAGTTACTGTTTTTCTTTTTAAATACATTTGGTGGGATAAGGATGCTAGATTTTCAGTTTAAAAATGCTATGCCATTTGTCTTAATTTAAGCACTAGATGCTCATGAGAAGAGAAGAAAACAAATTCTGATAAGAAGATTTTTAATTACTACATTAACAATTTGATATTAACAAGATTTGACTTTTTGTGGGTGTTAGTGAGATCAAATCATAGATTGAATCCATTTTTTTTCTACAATAGTATCTATATGTATAGCTTAATGAAGGTTTGGTGTAACAAAAATCATTGGATACTTTGTTTTTTTAATGTTTGATACTGGTTTATGAAGAAGATGCCATGAAAAGGGAAATAATTTATTTGCTTAAGATTGAATTATAAAAATCAACTTAGGAGACCATCAAAGACCATGGCCATGGTTGCAAGATGAAGAAGAAAAAAGAAATGCAGGCAAACTGTAATTGAAGTTGACTTTGATTTGAATCTAGTCTGCTTATTTTTATCTCATGGATGTTGATTTTCAATGGGAAAAAGTTTGATGTATAACATTTTAATTTGAAAGTTGAGACCCGATCCTGTCAAAGACCAAAGTAAATCCCGTTTTTTTGTTCTGTTGGCAGATACGTTTGGCAAGAAAGACAATGGTTATTAATTGTGTACCTATCCCAAGCAGGCCACTGGCCCAGGCAGGGAAATCGCTCCCTTAATTGAGTTTTTGAGTGACAGCTTCAGGCTTCGTTGACAGACTCATCTGTCTCTGCTTAAGCAAAAAGGCTCATAAAAAACGTTGGGTTTCAGCAGACAAATTAAATCAAAAAAATGCTCAACCTTTGCCTGTGTTTACCGATTGAAAGAGGAAAATTCTTGCTATCACCAGTCGTATTTGCATCTCCATTTCCATGATAAGTGTATAGCATTGAGTATTAATCCATGCCTGAATCCACTTTGAGCAACGTCTGAAGGGGATTTTTTTGACCAGTCCAATTTACCCATATGACAGCATTTCATCTAAGAAAGAAAAAGCAATTAGCATTAGGTGAGTAATCTTCTCCATTGTCTAATCAATTCAACTTTTTAAGTTGGGTTTAATATTTCAGACCTTTTATGGTGTAGGGTATTGTTCATAAATAAAAATAAGTAAAATATGATGAACCTATTTTTTTTTATGTCACATTCGGACTTTACTATCTTGCATACATATAAAAATTAGTAAAATTGAAAGCAAGATTAATTTATTTTTTATTACGAGTAAAATTCTAATAAAGTTGAAGTTTGATTCCTACACTTTCATTTTTTTTTAATTCTCTTATAAATCTTGATCTTCTTTGTAAAAAAATCATAGGATGACTGTTTTAAGAAAACTAGTACTAATAGAATACATATGAAAACCAAAGATGATAGAATTTGGAACCTAGTAACCTATTAACTAATAGAATACAAACTACTATTGTCTTACCCCTTCTGGGCTATTCTATCCCTTTGATTGTCCTTTGCTCTTTCTCTAATGCTATATTTTTCTTCAACTGAAGTGAATGCGAAAATGGGAGCCATAACCGAGAAACATGGGGAAGGAACCAAGTTTCTTACCAAACACTTGCATTAGATTTCCATGCCCTTGATTTTAATGTAGACCTAAAAGAGAGTAAATTATAAATTACATGGGGTAGGCATTTGACCTGGTGCGGGAGCGGGACTTTGATTTTGCCATTCAGTTGACAAATATACTATTGCTGCATTTGGACCGTCCATCTAAATGAAATGAAGCATATATAATAGTACAAGAGAAAAAGTGAAGGATCAAAGTAAAAGAGGTGAAAGAAAGAGTTTTAAAACTTGAAAAGCAAAAGCAAGGCATATTCTTTCCTGCGTTTAATCGAGTGGGGTGAAAAAGGGGAGATTTCATTCTTGAAATCAAAGACTCAATCAGGGCAAAGTATCAAATCTTGGAGACTTTCTTGGATGACATGGATGGGATGGAGGGTGGGGCTTACCTACTTAATAGTATCCCGAATCTCTTACCTTTCTTTGTTTACACACTTCCAGAAACGGCTAATGCCCCGAGTTTAATTGATTAGAGTAAAAACGCGCTTACTGCATAAATTCATACGTCCTTTTCCCACTTTCATCCGCAAATTGATTCAACCATCCATCATTCTCGATTTGGTTTCATTTTGACTATGATGATTCATTCCGGATTCTGTTTCAGCTTAAAGAAATTATTAAAACCAAACCAAACTCAGTAAATCTTAACCCTCCAATACTTTGATTTGTATGTCGGCCTCGGCTATCAAAATCAACCTTGCAAATTTACATGCAAAGGTTTATAGACTCTGTAATTGGTCCTTTGTCTTTCCAAATCCTGCCACCTTTCCTCAGGATAGAATCTCTCCTACCGCTACCCCATTATACATCTATATATATATATATATGTATGTATGTATATGTATATATATATGTATGCATGTATGTATGCATGCATGCATGTATGTATATGGCCAATAACGGCTACCCCATATTTAAGCAACAGATCTCCAAGCAAGTACATTCAAAGCTTTCGAGGGAGACCGACAATCTCAATTTCAAGTTTACAAGCTATTTGTGATGTGCTATGTTTGCCATGATCCATCTAGAAAACTCAACAGCCAATAATGGGGGCTTTCTACCCAGAAGAATAGTTTTTCAAGAACAATTTGATCAATCATCTAATTGAAAAATCAGCCATCAGACATTTAGATTTGGCTTGGCAGCGGTTTCTCCCAAAACCCAAGACTTTGGAACACCTACCATAAGTTGACTTTATTCATCCTCATAATGGCATTGATTAGAGTTGTAAGGGCTAAGTGACACAATAACAGCTGTAACCCTCCTTTACCTCCACAGCACAGAGAGAGAACATTTAAAGGATCCATCTAAAAGCTATTAAGAAAGTAATAATGGACATCTTAAGGGTGCAATAAAAACACAGGAGTCATTTAAAAACAAAATATTTGGTATATCCTCCAAGTGTCCAAGGTATATATATTATATAGACAGGGAAAAAAAAGGAAGTCATCCCAACATGGCTATCTGAGCATTGTCTTACAACAGATGAATAAAAGCAACCAAATTGCCATATTCTGCTCCATTCATGAGCCAAAATTACATGATACGAAAATGACATCTGCAATAAGCCAATGTCAACCACCAATCAGTAAATATTCAAGAACAAATACGCAGCAGCATTCAATCCATTTCGCTTTGTAGTTCATGCACAAGAAAAGCAATAACTTTCTTTAAGTCTACTATAGCGATAATATATAAGCCCCATTTGTCTTTCCTACATGCTTGCGTAAGTATATTATTATTCCAAACTTCCAGTATGATTGTTCAGGATCAATCATGATTCTGACCTCAACCATTTTCTTGGAACTGATAGTAGTCATTTGTCACTAATTTAAGTTGCTTCCAGAGCAACAATCTCAAAGCAAGGTACTGATAACATGATGTGATCTGTAATTTAAACCTATTACTAATGAGGAGATAAAGAAGGTATGACATACCCTAGAAGACCCCTGCCTTGCCATGTTCTAGGAATCACCATTAGATTAATTAATGCACCTTGTCTCATAATTCTGACAGGTATTGGGTGACCCTGATTGACCTGAGCTTCAGAAGCAAGTCTTTGTGGCAAATTATCACCGGCCGTCACATTACCAAATTTCACAATCTGGTCTCCAAGTTGTAAACCATCCTCTCCTGCGGGGGATGAATCAGCTATTTCATCAACCATTGCGAACGGTGGGCTAGAAATCATATCCAAATCATTGGCACTCGGAGAATCTCTCAAAACAAGGTTTTGCAAGGATGCAGATGCATCGGCACTGACAACTGATGCGTTTTGATTCATTTCAACGCCTATCAAGTAACAGCCAAATCAATGGTAATAAAAACAGAAAGTTCCTGGGCGTGGAAGATGCTACCCTTTATTTTTGTAGCACCAGTTTTGTAAAGGTTATTTTTTAAACTTCCAAATAAGGCGAAAACATAAGCTAATTGACAGATTACAGCAACAATATCATTTATCTAAGCAAATGGTGCAAAAAAATTGAGCTACTAACCTGAATCTTTAGGGGTTGAAGTGAGTCTTGATGAATGCAGAACTTGAATATTAACGTTTATTTTCTCTGTAATTCCCTCGTGATCAATTTTCAATTCTGCTCAAATAAAATGAGAAAGAAAAAGGTCGCTAACATTGTTGACACTAACCTTTCTCAAATGCACTAATTCTACAATAATAAAAATGAAACAAGGGGTAATACCAGCAAGACGCTGTCGTTGTGCTCGGACAACTGGGATGTCAATATCAGCTCGAGGAAACCCCTGAAAAAAAACAAAAACTCTAATCTCAGGAAATGAAAAGGAATAGGAATTTGAGCCCCAATAACTAAATTAAAGAAATAAAAAATATGGGTAGAAAAAAAAAAAGAAAAAGGAGAATACTTGGGAATCGACGAGGTTGCCAGAAAGACCTGGACCCCCAGGCTGACAAAGCTGCTCAATGATAGCGTTCATCTCAGCTTCCATTCCGCTTCTCTTCTCCATCAGCTTCATTGTCTCAGATTTCAGATTCGCTCCTACCATTTTTTTCATTTTTCTTGTCGCTTGTGCTGCTGATGGGGTTCTTATAAGGCTTTTGATTTAGCTTGGCGGAAAAGAAAGAGAATTTGGGAAAATATGCTTTATCGGTGAGCACGTGTAAGGCTCGTGATACAGGGTACTGTCAGTTGGGCCTAATTATTTGGGCTTTCTTTTAGGCCTGTTTTTGGTTGGAAAAGAAAAATCCCATGGACTCGAGATACAAGGAACGTTGGAATATAAAACCTTGCAACAAAAGGAAAAAACCTTTACCCAAAGGCCAACAAAGCTAAGGAGCGAGGAATAAAGGACCCAAGAAAGCAAGCAGGAAGATAGATGAGATGAGATGCCCAAGAAAATGATGTCAATGCTCCCATCAGCTCAAGTGCTTGGCCTTTTAAGAGAGGTTCAATATAAATACATAGACTATCCCACACTGAAACATGGTCGCCACCATTGTAGCGTCTTTGGCTACTTCTCTTTTACCTTCATTTGTCCGTCACTCTCCTTCTACTTCTTTGTTTTTCACCACTTTACGGTCTTCATCTGGTCTTAGATTTTCTTTTGCAGTTGCTCCTTTGTGTTCTCGAAGAGCCAAGTTCATGGTACACACTATAGCTCGCTCCACTCTTGGCCTTACTCAGCCAGCCAACATCGAACACCCCAAGGTGAGCCTTTTTTTTTTTTTCCTCTGTTGGGTTTAAGCAAAATTTTTGGGTTTGTTTGAAAGTTTTGGGTTGAAAATTTTTGAGCTTTTGCTAATGGGGGTATTTATCTTTCTCAAAAAGAGTGAACTTTTTTTTTGTTAATTGTTTGGAGATAAAAAATTTTTTTAAGATTTGACCTTTGATTGTGGATTGATTCTTTAAAGGGTTTTTAGAAGTTTATATTTTGATGTGAATGTCATTGGATTGACAAGTATAGGCTTAATTCTGAAATTTTGGAGTAAAGATTGGCTAAACATTGTCAGTTTTTAATATTCATAGGATAAGATCATCTTACTTAGATTCTTGGATTCACTTTTGGTCTTAATATGTAAAGATTGTTTTGTTTGTGTGTGTTTAGTTTGGTGAAATACCAAAAAATAATACTAAATGGTTGTTGCCTTTTTATGAAAAATGCTGGAAAGATCTCTTTTGGTGCAAAAGAGATCGATGTGGCAGAATGGAAAGGAGACATACTAGCAGTTGGGGTCACTGAGAAAGACATGACCAAGGATGAAAACTCCAAGTTTCAAAACTCAATTTTGAAAAAATTAGATGACCTGTTGGGTGGTCTCTTGGCTGAGGCTTCTTCTGAGGAGGATTTCACAGGGAAAGCTGGCCAGTCGACAGTTCTTAGACTTCCCGGCCTTGGCTCCAAAAGGGTTGGTTTGATTGGGCTTGGACAGTCAGCTTCATCTCCAGCTGCTTTTCTTGGGCTTGGTGAGGCTGTTGCTGCAGCCGCAAAGACTGCTCAAGCCAATAGTGTGGCTGTCGTCCTTGCCTCTTCAGAAGGCCTCTCAAATGAGTCAAAGCTCAGTACTGCTTCGGCAATAGCATCTGGTAATGCCCTTATGATTTCTTAGTATCATGATCGTTGCAGTTACTCCAAAGATTGAAGTTGATCTTTGTTGAATGGTGCATTCTCATAGGGACGATGCTTGGAATATATGAAGATAATAGATACAAGTCAGAGTCAAAGAAATCACAGCTTAAATCTGTAGATATTCTTGGTCTTGGAACTGGAACGGTGTTGGAGAAGAAGCTCAAGCATGCTGAAGATGTTTCTTCTGCTATAATATTTGGAAGAGAGCTTGTGAATTCACCAGCCAATGTACTTACCCCTGGTTCGTACGAGCATTATTCTTGCTTTTTCATCAATAATCCTTGCTTTTTGGTTAATTGTAAGGATGATTATTATTTAGTTTTATGCTTGAAGGCATAATTAGAAAGCTGAATTTCTAACTTGTCAGCGGTGGAGCTATAATTGGTTTTCTTAAGAAAGATTAGATAATTCTTAAATTTTGATCTAATGCATCTTTTTATCCTGCAGCTGCACTAGCTGCAGAGGCTTCAAAAATAGCTTTCTTCCACAGCAATGTTCTATCTGCAAACATCTTGACTGCAGAGCAGTGCAAGGAGTTGAAGATGGGATCTTATCTGGGAGTTGCTGCAGCATCTGCAAATCCCCCTCATTTCATCCATTTGTGCTACAAACCCCCAAGTGGACCTATTAAAGCCAAGTTAGCATTAGTTGGAAAAGGATTGACTTTTGACAGGTAATTTCTTATATACTTACATAGACATATTCTAGCAAGAAGATATTTTATGATTCAGTTACTGTAGGAAATAAAACAAGGACAGGGATGAGATGCCTGCATATTTTTTTTCTCAAGTTTGTGGTGCAATGCCATAAATAAAGAGATGGGTTCTTCCCTCAATAAGTGCTTATGTGCACATGTCAAGTTTTACCAGTAAACATGGAATTTCAATTTCCCTTTTTCCACTTCTTGCCATGTGCACCTATACATGTGTAACTTGACCAAAATTTCTTCCTAATGCAATTGGCATCTATTCAACATGAGTGGTTGGAATTTATGTCCCTTGTTCCTTTTTATACCAGCGGTGTATTTCTAGGTTTTGAATACTTGTCTTAAATGTTCTTAGTGGTGGCTACAATATCAAGACTGGACCTGGTTGCTCCATTGAGAGCATGAAAACTGACATGGCAGGTGCTGCAGCGGTTCTTGGTGCTGCAAAAGCCCTTGGGCAAATCAAACCTTCTGGAGTAGAGGTAAGTTGTTTGGTTGCTCTCATTTTGCTATTGTTCCTCTCCACCTTTCTCTCTCTCTCTCTGTGTCCTTTTTAAAGTTATATTTTGAAAGGTTGGGGAAACGATGAGTATTCTTTTCTTATTGTGTTTTAGTTGTCCCTTCATTTTCAATTGCTTTTCTGATTTCTGCATGGAATCTAGCTTGTCACTTAGTAAATTTCCTAAAATGCAGGTTCATTTTATTGTTGCATCTTGTGAAAACATGATAAGTGGAACAGGTATGAGACCTGGAGATATTATCACAGCTTCAAATGGAAAGACAATCGAGGTATACTGTTTGATTTTGATTTAAAAAAAAAGGGAAAATTAAGGTTTAGGTAAATTATATGGTACCGTGACATTTATAACTGGGTTAATTTTGACTTTCTTCATTGTCTTTAATAAATAATTTGTTGCTTACTACACTGATTGCAGGTTAATAACACTGATGCGGAAGGCAGGCTTACACTTGCAGATGCTCTGGTATATGCTTGCAACCAGGGTGTTGAGAAGGTAAAGCTGAACGCTGCACATTGTGAATTTGTGATGGCAATTCTAAATTGCTTATTTTGTATTGGTAATCAGAATTGCATTTTAAGACTATGTTAACTTATTTTGCAGATAGTTGACCTGGCAACACTAACCGGGGCTTGTGTTGTTGCTCTTGGACCCTCAATTGCAGGTACATGCATGACATATGAATTCTACAATTCTTGGAAAATAGTGTTTCAAACGTTTCTTTTGTTAGTTTTGGAAGAAAGTATTGGGAACTTAATTTTTTTGTTATTTTTAATAATTATGATGACCTTTTTGTGAATGACAAGTAAGTTTGGAGAAACAAGAGGATATCCTAATGTTATGCACACATAAACATACATATTTGGTAGGGGTTATGAATTATATTCTTCATTTGCCTTTTAAACATTCAAATTTGAAACTTTAATAGTAATAATTACATACAAGTTTCTTCTTTCCATTGAAAGTCCTTTTCCTGCTTCATAGTCAGTTTAGAAGGCCATTGCATTCATCATTTTATTGGTTGTTACTCAATCAGTTTAGAAGTCCTTTCCTTATTTGGCATGTACTATCTCATCACTGTCAATTCATTGGAAACCATTTTCCTTTTTAGGCGTCTTCACTCCCAGTGATGATCTAGCAAAGGAGGTATTGGAAGCTTCAGAGGTCAGTGGTGAGAAATTTTGGAGGATGCCACTAGAGGAAAGCTATTGGGAATCAATGAAATCAGGAGTTGCTGATATGGTAAATACTGGCAGTCGGCAAGGTGGTGCTATCACTGCAGCTCTGTTCTTGAAACAGGTATGTGATTTACACACACACACACACAAACACACAAAGATAGTCCAATCTCCTTGATGGAAACTTTTGCTGAATTTGATTGTTGAGCTATGGTTTTGCAGTTTGTTGATGAGAAAGTACAGTGGATGCACATTGACGTGGCTGGCCCTGCCCGGAATGATAAGACGCGTATGGCAACTGGATTTGGCGTCTCAACTTTGGTGGAATGGGTTCTTAAAAACTCTTCTTAAATGAAAGCTTAGAGCATGCTGGTGACAACTTTGGGGATGGATTCTGTGATATATGTTGCATGAATAAAAACATGTTCTGATGAAGAAGGTTGCTGCAGTGAAGTTATACAACTATATGCTTTTTTAATTAAAAAAACTTTAAATCAGCTTCATCTGTACCAGTAACTTTCATTTCCTTATCAGGCTTTATGATGATTGTGTTCTAACTTGGATGCCTATGTTATGGTTAAGTGAAGAACTTGGATAAACACAGGCCTTAAAAAAAAGTGGACATTAGAGGACAAGACTTGCTCTGTTCACACATCAGAAAGTAACTCTAATTTGAAAAATCTGTCCCGTCCTCTCTACATGAAAGGGTTTGCATCATCTTTGAAATTCTTTTGCTCAATTTCACAATGTTTTAGATGATAAGGTAAGACAAGCTTCCTTCCTGTTTACTACTCCACTATGCTTGTTTTGTTTGTTTTAGGTCATTGGATAGGACCGCAAAACCTGAAAAAGCCACCAAAGATTGAAAAAACAAAAATTAAAACTCTCACGCAATCCATCGTTTTCTTCTCGGCAAGTGCTTCAACGTTCAAGGCTTCAAGCCTCGCACGTATTTGGTCAAATCCTCTTACATTCTTTTTTCTTTTTTTTTTAATATATATAAGAAATAAAAATAAAAACAAACAACTTCATTTGTCCTAACTCCGCAGTAATACTTGAAAGTGTATAGCTGTCTCCGTTCAGACATAATTAGGAGCTTCCCTTGGCTTTTGTCTCTTTTTCTTTCTTAAACATTCAACTCACAAATCTTTTTTTTCTTTGTACCGCTAAAATTCACACTTTAACCAATACAACCAAACTCACAAGCATGGAATATACCCAACCTTTTTTAGCTCCTTTTTTGACTCTGGGTTTTGTTATCTGATCAATGATCATGTAGTTTTTGAAGACAACAATAGATTCAAAGGGAGAAAGAATACAAATTCTTTCTTGTTTGTTGAATTCAAAAATGAGTGTGTCTTTGACTGTAATGACGTTTAATCTGCTTGAAGACCAATCAGAAGACAGCCCAAATTCGTGGGAAAAGAGGAGGGATTTGTGCATAAGTGTCATCACTAGTTACTCCCCCATCATTCTTTGTACTCAACAAGGTATGACTCTCATTAAGTTTTCTTTCATTCTTTTTTTTTTTTTAATCTATGCTTGGATCTTTGTTGTCCCTATGGTTTATTGTTTTAAGTGATCTGGGTATTTCCTGATTTGAATTTTGGAGGTTGGTTTTTGTTCTTTGAGAAGGTGCTTAGAGTTTTGCTGTTGAAAATGCTTGGTTGGTGAATCGAAACTTTGTTTAATGTAAAATGTTCTTTTTGAGGGTTGTTTCAAGCTGGTTTATGTAATTTGGGGTCCTCCGTTTCTTTTCTTGATATGCTTGATCTGGCTTGATTTTATTGAGTTTCATTACTTTCTATTTTTTTTTATTGTTATTTATTTCTTTCCTTTGTTTTTGTTATTTGCATTCAGGCGTAAAATCTCAACTGGATTATCTTCAGCAGGGGTTGCCAGGTACATTGTCAAATAATCATCATTCAACCTTTGAACTATTCACCTAATGTTAAACTCTTAAATCATACACTTATACCTAACTAGGAAGGATTAAAATTTTGCCATAACTTTAGTACTTATAAATGTGGATGATGAGAGCGATGTAATATTAGATATTCATTTTAGTACTTGATGCCCTCGTACCTCGCATGAAATGATTTAGATTATTTGTTCTGCATCATTTAGGTTTTGAAGTGCCAGAACCAGGCATTAGTGCTGGATAGATAAATCTGCATGCATGTTGAAACTACAGAACATATTGAGATTGAGAGTTTTAGATTTATGCATCACCTTTGTTGTTGCTGCTGCCGTAAGGGGTGGAAATATATTGTATTAAAGCTGGGATGAATTCAATCTGTTTCATTCTGATTGAAGATTAGCAGAAACACATACTTATCTGATATTTTAAAATTTATGTCTATATGGTTGGATTGAGTTGCATGTTTGAATATGTGTTTCCAAAATGAAGCATTCAAGATTTGGCTCATTTGGATGATCTTCAAGTAAATGCTCTTTCAAAGAAGTTTAAAATAAGGCACCTAAGTGGAAAAAAAAAAAAAAAAAACCCAATTAGCATATCATGTAAAAGGAATGAAACATTAGATGTATTTTAACATGGACTAAGAGCGCCACTAAACACAATGGGGTAAGCTGTAAATTGCCTTCTCTTTTCCCTTCCTTTTTCTAGGGTCAAAGGCCTATGATGGCATTTGGTATTTTCATTTTCACCAAGTGTGTCATCTAACCACAGAAAAATTGAAACAAGAAAGGGAAGTATGTTTAAGAATAGACACTCTGATGAGCATGAAAGATTGAAAGGAACCTGAGGAATATCTAATCACCTTCGTGCTTGAAGGTAAATGATATAGAATTAGTGCAACAGTCAAGAGTTGTGGGGAAAATACATAAACTCTACAATTTTCATTTTATTTTTGTGCATACAGAATAGAAATGCCAGATAGTTTTTCTTCGCTTGGTGTTTTCAGATTGTTTGGCAAATAGTTTCTTGCAGTTAAATTTGCATGTTGGGTCATTCGGGCCTCATGAGTCCTGAGTCATAATTTATTTCTTCTTATGCATCATTATGAAGGTTTGCAGTTTTGGCGGTGGGGCATCCTTCACCTTGTACTGTATGTCATTTGTGGCTCTCTGCCTTTTCTACTGTGTTTACCCCCTACCAACAAGATAGCATGTTATAGCATGTTCGCCAATAATTTTGTTTCAAACATGATTTTTTTGTGATTCAAATTTGGCATAATGGAATATGATTCTCTTATCTTTCTATGTTGTGCAAGCCTCCTAATTCATACTAAACATGGATGGATTTGGTTTTTGATGATCTATAGGTTATGATCAGTTCGGAATATCAAGAAAAGGGCCTCAGGACACTTCAGATGAACATTGTACAATCTTCTATGACAAGGAGAAGGTATCTTAGTAGTTTGTTGATTTTTATGATCTAATATTCTGGTACAGTGTATTAACATTCTTTTCATATTAATTGAAGGTAGAGCTGATTGAAGGTGGAACTTTTTGGTTGTCTGAGTCACCTTCTGTCCCTGGGAGCACAGCATGGGGTTCTGTAGTTCCATGTATTGCAACATGGGCTATATCCTTCTTTATTTAGATTACTATTTCAATCTACTATTAAATGAAGTTCCAGTTGCCGTTACCACTTCATAAAAAACCATTGTGTTGGTTTGTTTCCTTCACATGATGCCCACACATTTCAACTTAAAGGAGTTGAGCCGCCAGGATTCTCATTTCAGGTAGTAAATACTAACATGGATGAGTTCAATCCTCGTGCTCGTAGACGAAGTGCTTTGCTTACATGGCAACATATTGCATCCTTACCTCCTAGCTTACCGGTTGTGTATTGTGGAGGATTTAACACACAGAAGGAATCGACAACAGGGCGTTTTCTTCTTGGGAGATCAAGGTATTTTGTTTGGTACAGAACCATTTAGCTGTTTCATAACACATGTATCTTCAAATAAACAAACTAGGGGATTCCTCCACTCCAGTTGTCTTCTTTTGTATGGCAGTGAATTTAAAAGTGGCTTCCATTAGTTTTACTTGAATAGAGTATCAGCACTTTAATCTTCTTAGTGATATGAGGCTGACTTCTTTGCTACTGGCCTGTTTCTATTATATTTTATTAGAGAGCATGGTGTGGCGGGAGACATGAGGGATGTGTGGCCTAATGCCCGGGTGAGGAAAAATGTTTCTCTTATACACACTTATCACGGCTTCAAAGGTATTCTTCTTTCTCCAAATGCTGCTCTGTTAGTAAGGTCTCATGATGCTTGAACTTAATGATGATTTCATGCCTTCAGGTGACAAGCAGGGAGCTGTTGAATTCCTTAAGTTGATTTTTAGAGCACTCTGCCTCTGCTGGGACCGCCAAACCCAGGATCTACACATAGACTGGATTCTTTTCAGGGGTAGATCTCTGATGCCTGTTTTATGCGAAGTGGTCAATGATAACATGGATGGTTACTACCCATCCTCTCACTATCCTATATTTGCTAAGTTTCTGCTTCCACGTACTGTGAGATTGATAGAACCACCTACACTTACACAAGAGGAAAATTAGAGTGCTATTTGTTTGTAAGCTACGCTCTGTTCTTCTTTGAAACTCGGCAGATTGTCATTTCTTATGGGAATATAGGTCTTTCTCAATCATGAATCATTTGTGGCTCTACAAGTATTTTCAGGTGTTGACATTGTCATCTGAATTCTCATGGCCAGAAGGTAAGAAGGCATTTTCAAACTGATTCCAGCTTGTGTGTTTTCAGGTATATATTCCAGCTGGCCAGGCAATGGGCCAAACTGGCAGTGTAAAGGGGGCATATGTCGGAAAAGAACTTGCGATTGTTTGATTATTGTGAACCTTTGCTGGTTTTTTGAATTTCATTCTTTTGGTTCTGGAAATAACCTGTTGTTTTAGGTTGCTGAACCTTAAGCTCAGAAACCCACCCCTTTTAACTTGCAGAAAATTTGTTGCTAGTCTGAATATAGTCTCTATCCTATCATCTTAATCATCAGCATGCGGCTTATGCTACAATATATATAGTTGATGGGTTATTCTTGATGTATCATCCTCTACACGTTATGCCAAGAATATTTGAAATATAGAGTCTAGAATGTAACTGGGATTGAGGGTTGCAACCTAGCCCAAGAATTTCAGGGGGGGTTTGCACTTGAACTAAAAAGACTTAAATAATGCTCAGGTTATGAACTTATGATTATGTTACTCTCTTCAATGATTGAAAGGTGAAAACCCCCTTTATATTGAGATTTGAGAGTAACAGATTCAACTAACAATTTTCCTCCTATTGGTGGATGCATCTTCTAACAAGCAGATTTGAGTAATGAATTTAAGGGCAACAAGTTTTGAGGTTGAAACCCAGAGGAAAAAACCATATTTAGCATGATAATGAATTTACTAAAACACTTATAAATCAGTAAACTTTGGGACAATAGGACAGAAGATTTCATGTTAGGAAAGGGAGATTTTTTGCCTTTGACGAAAATGTTTTACCTTTATCACAGTTGTCAAGTAAACAACAAGTTAGATGCAACATCTTAAGCACACTTGGAAATCATACCTAATCTAGAGATTGATAAATGACCAACTTGAACATATAAGTACAATACGTCATGAATTCTTTAACAATAATTTAAAAATATATGTTGTATTTTAGTTTTGATTATTGTGAATAAACAGAACAATCCCCACGTGTCTTTGAGGTTGATGAGCTTATATAAATAGTTAAGATATATTAATGACAAGAATAATTAATAATGATGATCTTATTATTTGGTAAGAAAACAAAGTCAAGATCATGGCTAGCTTTGCGTAGGACTTCAAACAATAAAATTTTAAAAATTTGGTTTAACTAAATTAATTTATATAATTATTTTTAATAAATATTATTTAATAAATTTAAAATTTAAATCTCATCACATAAAATTATTTTCACAATCATTAAACAATAAAATATTTTATAAGAAAATTCAATAAACCAAAATGATGCTCAAATAAATCAAAACAAACCCAATTCAAGAAACTCCATGGCTTAAAGAATTATTTATGTAAAAGGACCACTCCACATCAAGCTGTAATATTATTATTATTATGGGTTTTGCCACTTCCATTGTTAGGAGGTCACTCTCACCACCTACATTGCATCCCATTGTTTGGTGTGGGGGGGCAAAAAGGGATTTCAGAAATCATACACGTTTTAGAGGTCTAAACAATTTTCCATTTTCCGGGAAAATTTGATAGAAATAATAAGAATTATTTCTTTCGGCTTCTAATCTCATTTATGAGAAATAAAAAATGGGTTCCTCAATGCTCAATTTGCAAGTTTTTCTTTGTTAATAATTTCTTCATGTTTTTAAATGTAGACTGACAATGAGACTGACACAAACTCAAAGCACATGTAAAACCATATGGCTCTCCATTTCTTTTTCTTATTAATAAATGACTTATAAATATTTAAACAAAGAGAAAAATATTGTTTTGATTTTTGAAGATTCAATGAGAAATGGTGTAACAAACAAATAACAATGAAGAAATCATTGACCCAAAAAGAACAAAATTTACCGTAATGTCCATGGAGTCACCATCAAAGTAAACTCATCAAATCAAGACCGTACATCAAAATCAGAGAATTTAAATCTAACGGTTCGTGCCTAGGGAGGCCCCTCTGCAAACATATATTTCACTTCCCAGACTTGTCTCGTTCTTCCCAACAAACCACCTTCCCCTTCTCTCTCTTTTATTTCTTCCGTCACAGACAAGAAAATTCAACTCAACGACACCAATTACAAGGCAAAGCAGGTCATTTCTTTGTTAGTTTCGTTTCAATACAGGGAAAAGTGGGAATCCGGGTAATCGGATCTAGATCCGGGGCAAAACCCATGGCGGGTCATAGGTTTCACGTCGCATGGTTCTTCTCCTTGTTTGGTCTCTTATTCCTTCGTACCCATTGCTTCTACCTCCCTGGTGTTGCCCCTGAAGATTTCCAAAAGGTCAGTTTCCTGACAGGCATGCGTGCATGTATGTTATGTTAATGTACGGATCATCATCATCATGTATTTTGGATCTTTGGGTTGACTTGGATTTTCCTTTCTGTTATTGGGTTTTATTTAGATCTGCGTTTTATGATCTCTAGAATCGCTATTTTGGTTTAATGAATTTGGATATGATGTTTCTATGGAAGTTAGTCTGATAAGTTTTAAAGTTTGTATCTTTCCGTTGTTTCAAGCTGCTAGTTTATTATCAATACGATAAGTTCCAGGTCAGTTCGGCTTAAATTTGGAAGAATGTTTATGAAATTTGAACATTGATTAAAACTCACCGAGTCTTTCATGCTCAATGATCAACCTCCAGGATCTTTGATTCAACTAAAGTGATGGTTTAATGTAGTTTATTTGATGTTCCTTTTTCTCCAATTATGCAGGGGGATCCATTGTTGGTGAAAGTGAATAAGCTGACTTCAACTAAAACACAACTTCCTTATTCCTACTATTCCCTACCTTATTGTCAACCTGAGCACATACTTGACAGCGCAGAGAATCTTGGGGAAGTCCTCCGTGGTGATCGAATCGAAAACTCTCCTTATGTGGTGAGTTTGGACTCCAAAATCATTTCTTTACGTCTCGTTACTACTGTGTTTTGGTTTTTCTGTGGTTGACAGGATTATTTATTTGCAGTTTAAAATGAGAGAGCCACAAATGTGCAATATTGTATGTCGTAAAATTCTTGACAAAAAAACTGCAAAGGCATTCAAGGAGAAGATCGATGATGAGTATCAAGTTAACATGTAAGGATCTCATTCAGGAAATCTTATTTATGGTATTCCAGTTCTTCTTTGATTAGCTGCTGATATTTATGGTGTGTTTGTGACAGGATTTTGGATAACCTTCCATTGGTTGTTCCCATAAGAAGGCCTGATCTGGAAAATGCTGTAGTGTATCAGCATGGATATCATGTTGGTCTCAGAGGACTGTATGCTGGGGTAAGTGATAGATTGATTGGCATCTTTTTAGAATAATTTTTAATATTTGCCATGTGCTGGTGCTAGCAATGCTGGTTTGCTGTTTGTACTTGCAGAGCAAGGAAGAGAAACATTTTATCCATAATCACTTGACATTTGCAGTCAAATATCACAAGGATCCACTGTCAGATTCTGCAAGAATTGTTGGATTTGAGGTCAAACCATTCAGGTTAAAAATTTTTATTCTTTATGACAGTGGCATATCTGTTACCTTTAATTTCTCTTACCATTTGTGTTTATTTTCTATATTTCTTAGCTAATCATTTTTATGAATGCAGTGTTAAACACGAATATGTGGGTGAGTGGAATGAGAAGACCCGTCTGACAACCTGTGATCCCCATGCAAAACGTGCTGTTACTAGTTCTGAATCTCCTCAAGAGGTTGAAGAAAATAAGGAGATCATATTTACATATGATGTTGAATTCCAGGTCAGCTCTTTGCAAAATGAGCATGCCATGCCACTTGTTACAGTTTGGCTAGCGTGTATGATGTTATATCATTCTAAACAACTTGCTACTTGTTGTCATTTTGCAGGAGAGTGATGTAAAGTGGGCATCCCGATGGGATACCTATCTTCTCATGGCTGATGATCAGATCCATTGGTTCTCAATTGTTAATTCTTTAATGATTGTACTTTTCCTCTCAGGGATGGTGGCTATGATCATGCTGCGAACTCTTTATAGGGATATCTCCAAGTACAACCAACTTGAAACCCAAGAAGAAGCCCAAGAGGAGACCGGGTGGAAGCTGGTCCATGGGGATGTTTTCAGGACTCCAACAAACTCTGACTTACTCTGTGTATATGTGGGAACAGGGGTTCAGTTTTTTGGTATGATTCTTGTTACCATGATCTTTGCTCTCCTTGGCTTCCTGTCCCCCTCAAATAGAGGTGGGTTAATGACAGCCATGCTTCTACTCTGGGTCTTCATGGGCCTGTTTGCTGGATACTCCTCGGCTCGTCTCTATAAGCTGTTCAAGGGAACAGAATGGAAGAAAATCACACTCAAAACGGCGTTTATGTTCCCTGCAACTCTCTTTGTTATTTTCTTTGTCTTGAACGCTCTGATATGGGGCCAGAAATCCTCTGGGGCGGTGCCATTTGGAACCATGTTTGCTCTGGTATTTTTGTGGTTTGGCATCTCAGTCCCACTCGTTTTTGTGGGTAGCTATATTGGTTTTAAGAAGCCAGCAATCGAGGATCCAGTAAAAACTAATAAGATCCCAAGGCAAATTCCAGAACAAGCTTGGTACATGAACCCAACCTTCTCCATCCTAATTGGGGGCATACTTCCATTTGGCGCTGTCTTTATTGAGCTCTTTTTCATCCTCACTTCAATATGGTTGCATCAGTTTTATTACATATTTGGCTTCCTCTTCATTGTCTTTGTCATTCTTATTGTCACTTGTGCCGAGATCACAGTTGTACTCTGCTACTTCCAGCTGTGCAGTGAGGATTATCTATGGTGGTGGAGGTCATACTTGACTTCGGGTTCTTCAGCGCTTTACCTATTCCTCTATGCTGCCTTCTACTTCTTTACAAAGCTTGAGATCACGAAGCCAGTATCTGGAGTTTTGTACTTTGGGTACATGTTGATCGTATCTTATGCATTCTTCGTGCTGACTGGTACAATTGGTTTCTATGCTTGTTTCTGGTTCACAAGGCTCATCTACTCATCAGTGAAGATTGATTGATCTATTATTGCAACTTGAGGAAAATTGCCAGTTTGTTTCATCATGGGGATGCTAAAATTATCCCAAAAAGAATCAGAAATGCAGGGCATCCTTGCTCGTGGAGTTTCCATTTGGGTTCAGTTGTGAATCTTTGATCATAGAAATTGTTAATTTTTTTTTAGGCTTCTTCATACAGGTTCTTTGGCAGTTACTAGTTAACTTTTTAATTGGTTCCATTACTGTTTTTGTATAAGACCCTTGGAGAGATTGTTAAAGCAATCTGTTCTCAATGCATATTCTAGAAATGAAAGAATTCTTGTATTCACACTTTTAATAGTGTTTGTTTATCCTGCAATTCTGTCAAGAAAAAATTCATAATCTGTGTTCTTAAGGAAAAGAAATGGAAGTTATCAATTCATATCTGAGCTGTCTATAGGCAGCATGAATTGATTCAATCGTGGAAGCCTATGACCTTTTTTTGGCCGATGCATTCAAGGATTTAGACAACCATTAGCACTAGTTGACAAGATTTCCTTGCATTCAACCCATCGAGACTTGTCCTTTAAGCTTGGAAAGCATTCTCAGCTGGACCAAAAAGAGAGCATGAAATAATACTTCTCTTTTTTATGGATCAAGACAAGATATCAAGGCATTGGGATTTGAATCGGACGTTAATCAACACGATGTGGAGTCAGATGCGCTACCTTTGCGTCACGGATCCCTTTGCTTATATGCAAGGAAATAAATAACAGGGGTTTGGCTAGGTCGATTATTGAATTAACCACTAAAAAACTTTTAGTAAATTAAACATGCAACTATAAAAGTAAATAAGCATGGAACATCTAGTGATAGAAATATGGGAAATGAAGGAAACGCAGAACCAAAACAGAAAAATAACAGGAAAAAAGGGGAGCAATTTCATGTTCAGGATGCATAACTGCTGGAATCAAGCAGTTGGCTTAACGTAATTGCTTGAAACTCCTTCAATGAGGGTGGATTCTGAGTTGACAGGTCCTCAGAAACTTTGTTGCATACTTGGTCGAGATTGTGGACTGGCATGTAAGCATAGAGAGGCTAGTTTTACATTTGAGACCACTTTTGCTGCTGTTTGTTTCCTAGGAAGTGGAAGACGCTGGTCTAACAGATCTTTCAGTAGTAAATGATTGACGGTTGCTGATGATGAACATCAAGGAGAGACCGAAGAAAATGATGATGACAAAGAAGATATGAGATCCCCAGGATGCCTTCCCATGAGTGTTTCCAATGCCACGACCCCGAAGCTGAAGACATCGCATTTTTCATTCACTTGCATGGTATAAGCAAGCTCTACAAAAGAAAAATATCTGCTCAGAAACACTAAGAACTCAAGTGCATTAATATCTTTGGCATTATGACTTCAGCTTGTGTAGAACAATTTACTTATCCAAATTCAATGCTGTCTGGTTTCTGTCTTAGCATTATCATTCCATTAAATCTTGTAATCTAATATCTTCAATTGCAGCTTAAAAGTGCAATAGAGCAAGAATACAAACCAATAATAAAAGAAGAAAAAGATGGGAAGAAAATAAAACATACCTGGAGCCGTGTAACCAAAAGTGCCTTCAAAGGGGGTCCAATTGGATGAGTCAGGCTTTAGAAACCTGGCAGCGCCAAAGTCCGCTACATGGGCCTCGTATTCTGAATCTAGCAGAATATTCTTACTTGAAATGTCACGATGGACTATAGGAGGGGAGCAGTCATGATGCATATAGGACACAGCATTAGCCATGTCTTTAACAACATTTATCCTCTTAATCCAATCAAATTCCATTGCTTCTTGTTCAGTCCTTAAGATCTTCTCCAGGCTGCCCCCTTCCAAGAACTCGTAAACCAAAATTGAGTGTCGAGGATGGGAACAGAAACCATAAAGCTTCAAAATATTGCGATGGCGTATTTCAGTCAAGGCCTGAATCTCACTGTTAAAAGCTCTTTGATCTGCCACCCCACCTTCCGAAAGTGGGTGAAGTTTTTTCACAGCAACTACTTGACCATTTGGCAATTGTGCTTTGTAAACGCTTCCATATCCTCCAACTCCAATGCAGTATTTGGAGTCAAATTCTTCAGTTGCTTCAACTATGTTTTTGTACATCCTTTTCCCATCATAGTTGCAGATTGTAAACAGATTATCACTTACTACTGTCCCTGGCGTGTTCTCAGTATTCCTCACTCTTGGTTTGAAAGAAGAAAGAATCCCAAAGACAACACATACAAGAAGTAGTGTGCATAAAATAGGGACTACAGTAGCAATTACAATTCTGTTTGTCTTTTTCTGGTCAAGTTTGTGGCTTACATTTGAAGAGCATGATTCCAAACCAGTGATATTTCCGCACAAACCTTTATTGTTTCTGAAAGCCTCAAATGAAGCCTCCTGAAAGGCCTTATTGTCTGGAATAGGACCCTCCAACTGATTGTGGGATATATCAACAGAAGTTAAGCTTAACAAATCATCAAAAGTTGATGGAATATGACCCAAGAGCTTATTGTGAGAGAGATTAAGCCTTTGTAAAGTTTTCAAGTTGCCAATTTGCTTTGGTATTCTCCTATCAGCAAATTCTGACTGAGATCAAGAATTTCAAGGAAAGAAAAGCTGCCAAACTCAGACGGAATTCCTCCACTCAATCTATTGATGCTCAAATTCAGTTCCAAGAGTTTCTCACACTTCGTCAATCCTCTTGGGATGGAGCCATTTAAGTTGTTTGCTGCCAAGTTAAGACGCTGAATACCAGATAGCATTCCAATTTCCTGAGGAATTCTGCCTGAAAGATGATTATCATTCAGCATAAGGTTGAACAACAATGTTAAGTCTCCCAGTTCCTTTGGAATGCCCCCAATTAGATTATTTGAAGAAAGGTCACATACTTGTAGCTGAGTTGCCTTTCCAAGTTCAGCGGGCATCTCACCGGAGATATTATTGTTTGAGAGCCTTAGGCTTGTTAGATTGTGGCACTGACCCCATTTTGATGACAGCTCACCATTAAATTTATTATCACTCAAATCTAGATAGTCCAAATTCGGGTATATGCCTAAATCTTCAGATACATACCCGGTAAGTTGATTGTGTTCAAGCCGAACTCTGTGTAAGCTGGTACAATTCTTCAAGCTCTTGGGGATTGGACCTGTGAAATAGTTGTTATGTGCAGTAAAATTTTCAAGTACTCTACCAAGGCACACCTGTTGTGGTAAATGGCCAATCAAGTAGTTTTCAGAGAGTAGAAAAACTTTCAGACTTGTAAGATTATTCATCTCTGCCGGAATGAAGCCACTGAGGCTGTTGTTGAACAGCCTTAAGTCAACAAGGGATCGGAGCTTACCTAATTCCCAAGGAATTGAGCCATGTAACTTATTGCATTGTAGTAATAATTCAATGAGATTGGTTAAGTTTCCAATATTAGAAAGGAATAAACCCTGAAAGTTCGTTAAGGTGAAGGTAAAGATATGACAAGTTTTTCAAGTTTCCTATAGAAGCAGGGATTAAACCCCGTGAGATTTGCCATTGCCAATTCAAGGTCAATGAAAGATCTAAGTCTTCCAATTTCGTGAGGAATTGAACCACAAAATTTGTTAGCAGTGTTGTTATTTTTGAAGCAAAGAAAACTTTACTCACTGTTCCATGTTCCATTTCTTAACATCAGAAACATTACAATTTAAAACTTAATTAATAACTACCCACTAAAATCATAGTCCTAAGATTAAGCCATGACCACCAGCATGAATAACAAAAAAAATAACCAACACCAAAAAAATAGGTACAACATGAAACATTCAACTAAGCAACATTCATGAATCCACATTAGCAGTCCTAAACACATCTTCTAACACTCCTCCTTGCTTTAGGAGCTGCAAACACCAAGTTTTGTCCTCAGAAATTTAAACTTGCTAATTGGCAGTGGCTTGGTGAAAACATCTGCAACATGATCTTCTATTTTATAGTAGACAAGAACAACGGCTCCATCTTTCTGTACTTCCCTTAAGAAGAATAATTTAATATTAAAATGTTTAGTTTTCCCGTGAAACACAAGATTTTGAGAGATAGCGATGACAGCTTGGTTGTCAACAAGAATCTTCGTGCTTTCCTCCTGCTCTAAGTTAAGATCGATTAAAATCTTCCTTAGCCACAAAGCTTGATTAACAGCAGTTGTTGCAACAATAAACTCTGCTTCAGCTGTGGATTGAGCTACAATTTCTTGTTTTTTCAAGCTTCGTGAGAAAACAACAGAACCAAGTGTGAAACAATAGCCTGAAGTACTCTTCATATCATCAATGAAACCTCTCCAATCACTGTCTGAGAAACCAACCAGCTTGAACTCTTTGCTCTTTGTGTATTTAATGCCAAAATCACTTGTGCCTTTGACATATCTAAGCACCCTCTTTGCAGCCTTGAGATGCCATTCACTTGCACAATGCATAAACCGAGACAAAATGCTTACAGCATTCAAAATGTCAGGCCGAGTTACTGTGAGAAACATTAAGCAACCAATCAGGCTTCTGAAATATGCCTGATCAATCTTCTCTATTCCATCTTCTTTACAGAGCTTTTTCTTTGAATTCATTGGTGTCCTCATTTCTTTACATTCTTCGAGTTTAAACTTCTTCAGAATCTCTTTGGCATATTTCTTCTGACAGATGAAGACTTCATGTTCATTCTGTTTGATTTCCATTCCAAGAAAAAAGGTCATCAATCCAAGATCTGTCATTTCAAAAAACTCCATCATCTCTTGCTTAAACTTTTCCATAATACTTATGTTGTTTCCTGTCACAAGTAAGTCATCCACATATAGTGAGATGATAATAATGTCAACTCCATTGTGCTTGACATATAATGTTGATTCAGATAAGCTTTTAACAAATCCCAAGTTTTGTAAATGTTCATCAATCCTGCTGTACAAGCTCTTGGAGCTTGCTTCAATCCATAAAGTGCCTTTTTAAGAAGATAAACATTGTCTTCTTCTCCTTCCTTGACATAGCCTTCTAGTTGTTCTACATAAATCTCCTCATGTATAAAACCATTCAAGAATGCTGACTTGACATCTAATTGGTGCACTTTCCAATTCTTTTGTGCTGCAACGACAAGTAAGAGTCTGATGGTGTCGAGTCTAACGATTGGTGTGAAGGTATCTGAGTAGTCCACACCGAGTATTTGAGCATATCCTTTGACCACGAGTCTAGCTTTATACTTGTTGATTGAGCCATCAGCATTAAGCTTGGTTCTGTACACTCATTTGACTCCAATTACTTTTATGTTCTGGGGTTGATCAACCAACTCCCATGTTTCATTCCTTTCAATCATGAATAGCTCCTCCTTCATTGCAGCAATCCAATTTTGATCCGCTTGGCCTCTTCATAATTTGTAGGTTTACACACAGCAATATTGCATCTTTGATAAACATCAGAAAGTAGTCTTGTACCTCTGATAGAACTGTCATCTACCATTTCATTCTTTCAGTCTCCAATGCTAGAAAACTTGAGCTTGTGCTCTTTTAAGGTTGGATCCATCTTTTTTGCATCATCCCAGTTCCACTCTTCATCTTTCATAAAGTGCACATCCCTGCTTATAATAATTTTTTCAATTTGTGGTTGAAAAACTTTATAAGCTTTTGCAACTGAGCTGTAGCTAATAAAGATGCCTGGAAGTGCTCTTTTATCTAATTTATCTTTCTTGGTCTATGGAACATAAGTGAAGCACAAACATCCAAATATTTTAAAGAAATTCAGAGATGGTTTATAACCATACCATGCCTCAAAGGGTGTTTGATCCTTCACTGCTCTTATGGGAAGCCTGTTTTGCAAAAAAACAACAATATTTGCTGCTTCAACCCAAAATTACTTTGGCAAGTTCTTCTCATGTAGCATACATCGTGTCACCTTCAATATGAATCTATTCCGTCTTTCACTTACTCCATTTTGTTGTGAAGTGTATGGAGCGGTTAATTGATGTTGGATGCCTGCCTCTTCACAAAAACGAGTGAATGCTTCAGAGATGTACTCTTTGTCATTGTCTGATCTGAGAGTTTGAATTCTACAGCCACTCTCGTTCTCAACTCTGGCTTTAAAGTTTTAGAAGACTTGAGCCATCTTTGACTTGTACTTTAAAAAGAAGATCCAACACATACGGGTGAAATCATCAATGAATGGAACATATTAAAGATTACCTTTCAAAAAAAATATTCTTTGTGGGCCTGCAATGTCAGTATGAATTAATTGTAACTTTTTTGATGTCTCCATGTTGCCTTAGGAAATGGTTTTCTACTTTGCTTTCCAAACTGACATGCTTTGCAGTTTGGAATATGATCATCAATTTCTAAAAAATCATTTACTATTTTCTTGGATTTCATCTGCAGCAGCCCCTGATGATGATAGTGCCCGAGCCTCTTGTACCATACTTCAGTGATATTTTTTTTTATTGGGAAAGCAGTTTGCTCCTCCTCCAATATATTTAGAGCAAAGTTTTTCCCTTTCATTTTTACTTTGAAAATATCTTGACCAACTGCATCTTTAATCAAGCAATTTTTATCTTCGAACACAATTTTATAACCCTTTTCAATTAGTTGTCCAACACTTAACAAGTTTTGATCAATTTCAAGGACATATAATACATCAAAAATGAACTTTGTACCTGAACAAGTTGAAATTGCAACTGTTCCTTTTTCTTTCACAGTTATGTATTTGCCATTACCAACTCAAACTTTCAATGAGTTTGCGTTGCTTAGTTCCCTGAATAGATCCTTGTCATGTGTCATGTGTCATGTGGTTAGTACAACCATTATCTATAAGCCAACTCTCACTTGATTCAATGCCAGAGAAACATGTAGCTACGAACAGGTGATCCTCCTCCTCTTGATCAGCAATCTTTGCATCTTCACCATGTTACAAATTTTTGTTTTTGCAGATAATAGCTTCATGCCCCATCTGATTACATTTAGTGCATTTAGCATCAGGTCTTTCCAGCATCTAAATGGAGGATGATCCTTTTTTCCATAATGTTGGCAAGGTGAATAGGATTTTTTCTTATTTTCATTCTTTCCTTTTGCATTGGCTGATGCAGTACTTGCACCATTTCCTTCAAAATCATTTTTCTTTTTTCTTTTGCTTTTGGTCACATTTTGATGCTTGACAACCAAAGCTCCTTCAATTGTTGTATCTTCCCTCATTAGTCTTCTTTGTTCTTGTGCTTGCAAAGCATTAAGCAATTCTGCTAAGAAAATTTTTGACAGATCATTTGTATTCTCCAAGGCAGTGATGGTTGCTTCATATCTTTCAGGTACTGTAACAAAAATTTTTTCTACGATTCTTGAGTCAGTAAATTCAGATCCAAGAAGCTTTACTTTGTTTGCGATACTCAGAAGCCTATCGGAGTAATCTTTAATCGTCTCGGAGTCCTTCATTCTTTGAAGTTCAAATTCTTTAATCAAGTTAAGGACTTGCATCCCTTTAATTCTTTCATCTCCTTCATATTCATTCTTGAGATAATCTCATATCTTTTTGCTGACTTCAGAGACATGATACGAGTGAAGATGATGAATGAGACTGTAGCAAACAAGTAGGCCTTTGCCTTTGATTTCTTTGTCTTCTTTTCTTTCTATGCTTTAATCTGTGCCATGGTTGGATTGTTTAGAAGTGTAGGAATCTCATAGTCTTCTTCCACTGCTTCTCAAAGATCTAAAGCTTCCAACTATGTCTCCATACGTACTACCAAAATCTAATAGTTGTCTCCGTCGAACACCGCCGGAGCAATTGTGGAGAAACTGCCTTCAACTTCCATGATGCATCAATTTCACACACAGATCCCTTAAGAAGATAGCTCTGATACCAAATATTGTTATTTTTGAAGCAAAGAAAATTTTACTCATTGTTCCATTTCTTAACATCAGAAACATTACAATTTAAAGCCTAATTAATAGCTACCCAATAAAATCATAGTACTAAGATTAAGCAAAAAAAATAACCAACACCCAAAAAATAGGAACAACATGAAACATTCAACTAAGCAACATTCATGAATCCACATTAGCAGTCTTAAACACATCTTCTAACAAGCAGAAAGGTAAAGTAAAGATACTTTGGTCAAGTTTCCTATAGAAGCGGGAATTTCACCGGTAAGACTGTTATTGGACAAACTGAGCTGATCAAGGGAACTCAGCATTCCAATTTCTTTTGGTACGGGCCCCGAAATTTTATTGTTATGAAGGCGAGGATCAGATAAGCCGCTTAAGTTTCCAATGGAGGGAGGGAGAGAACCGACCAGATTATTGTCAGAGAGAGTAAGTCTATACAGGGACTTCAACATTCCAACTTGTTGAGGTATAGCACCGGAGAGCTTGTTTTTGTGCAAGTAGAGAAAGAACAGGTCTGTCAGGTTTCCTATGGAAGGAGGGATTGAACCTGTCAGAATGTTTTTTTCCAGATAAAGCTCTGAAAGAGACCTCAACTCTCCTATTTCAAACGGAATATTTCCAGAAAGACAATTGGAAGACAAGTCGAGGTAGGTTAGTCTAGATAGGTTACCAATATCTGATGGAATGGTTCCATTCAGAGAATTGTTCCCTAGATCAAGAATATTAAGTTTGGGGAAAGAAGAGAAGCTAAAATCATGCAGTGTACCTTTCAAACTGGAACTTGAAAGGTTTAAATGGCTGACCCTTCTAGACTTGTCACAAATGATCCCGATCCAATGGCAGAGGCCGTTTCCAACCCAAGAAGACAGGAAAGATTGGCTTTGATTATCAAGACTAGCCTTCCATTTTAGAAGAGCATTTGCTTCCTTCTGTCTTGTTGATGCTTCGTCTCTAAAAGTGCCAGGAACAGAAAAAGTTGAAACAGAAACTGAACCAAAGACATGGAAAGAAGAAACCAGCAGCAGGGTGAAGAAGAAGAACAAGACCCGGATGGATGAAGATGATTGTTTTTCTAAAAAAAGTACCATAGCTTAAGATTGCAAGGGCAATAATATTGGTTACGGTCTACTTTAAAAGGAAAATAGTTGCCCAGAATGTGAAGAAGTATTTGTGGAAATGAGGAAATTCTTGTTCTCTACTCTTTCACATTTCATGGTGGATATCAGGACATACACCGTGTTTGTTGGGGCTGAAACATAAGACGTAGCTTCATCCTTGTTTAGATATTTTGGTCCAGAATGTCAGGTGTCAATCATAAAGTCAACAATTAAGTGCTCGATACGTTATCATCCACTGAAGTTTTCTTTTCGTGGCAATTTCATCAAGAAAAAAAAACAGTCTGATCAATCCCAAAGCAATGGATAGACAACTCAACCCACACTGAAATATTAAAGTGTTTAAAAAAAACAAAATGTAGATATATAAATGTGAATTTTAATGTTTTAACTAACAAACTGGTAGAAATATATAATACGAGAATTATTTTTGTATTTAACCCTTTTAAATTTACATTCTATGTGCTCAAGAAGAACTTAACTAAGAGCTATTACATTACATGGTTCCAATATTCCAGACTAAAAAGACTTTCAAAGATAAAAATTCTAGTAGAACCTAGCTGCCCTCGAGTAGAGCAACCTCTAGGCTCTACCCATATATTGATTCTATTCTACCTAACCTAGTCGACCTTACGGAATTCATTTGCAGATATAGCCCCCTTTTTGCAACAGTGCTGATACCATTTGAATTAAATCTTCAACACCTTGCCGTCTGGAATGATACTTCATATCCTAATTTTTCCAGGCAAGTATTTTCTAATCCCCTTATACAGTCTAGGGAGGACCTTCCCCCTCAAAAAATTTTGACAACCCTTTATTATGTATTATATATTACAAATATTTTATATATATAAATTGAATTAAACTGAAAGTCACATTAAAATTGTTATTTATTAATTTTATTTTTTATCTTTTATCTAATTTTATGCATTGGAGTTTACGAGAAATTAATTAAAATCATATTACTATTTATCTATTTATTTTATTTACAAATCTTAAAGAGTAATAGACTTATTATAAATAGTAAATCACACTCATATAAACTTAAAAAATAAATTAATTTTTTAGCCTTCTCAACAAGGTTTCAAGTTTTCATTCAAGTACCAAGATATTTTTACTTCATATCCTAATTTTTCCAGGCAAGTATTTTCTAATCCCCTCATACAGTCAATTACCACCCCAACGTTACTTCTGGGTCTCCCTCAAGGTACGTTTGAATCTATCATGTCAAGCTTTTCGTGAAATAGGGTGTTGAAAAACCTAGATATTTGTTCCTGAACCTAAATCCAACTGGTCATTATCATAAATCTGATTCTCAAGACCACCCCAAAGTACGCTCCTACAATCTACATACAATGCTCTCATCATCTAACATTGGAAAAGGAGTTGCACCAAAACCCAAAAAAAAAAAAAAGAAGGAAACAGAGAGGAGTTGTTCACTACCAGGAATTCCTTCTGAATTCTGATCCTGCGTTTCTTCACACGTGCAATCATTGACTTGACACCCCCTCCCTAAAATTGGAACGTGAAAAGGGGCTTGAATGTTCTATCCTATACTTGGTTTGGGAAATGGGAACTAAATATGGCAATCCATGGTCATAATGAAGCAGCAAGCAAGCTTTGCGGTCTTAACATGTCTTCCAGCAAGCCTTACTACTGCAATACCAAACTGGATTGTGTATGTATTATACATTGTTTTTAGATCTTCCAAGCAAGTACAATTACATGAAAGTAACAGCATTTTAACTCTAGACATCATGGGTAACATATCAATCTGCGTCTTCAGCAGTAAAGTCAGGCTCAGGAGGCTTTTGTAGTTTCATCAACTCCTTCGCACTCTTAGCATTCCGATTTCGATGAATACCTCGCAGTGCATTTGCTGCAAACTTGGAAGCTAAGAAAGTGGCACCAAGGCTGTATGAAACTCCACCACTGTTATTGCGGGTTCCATCGGACCCTTCTGATTCCTCTTCTTCCTTCCTACGAAGCTCCATATTCTTCCTCCTGGAATATCGCCGCCAAGCAGCTTGGATAAAGCAAGCCGCCCAGGTCCTCCACTGCTGTGAATGAAAACGGAAGGTATGTTGCACTTGTCTACTGTGAAGACGCCTGAATTGCCCGGCAACAAATTTTAGCTCCTCAGCTATAAGGGCAAAAGCCTCAACCTCAGTCAAAGCCTTCACTGTCCGAGTAGATGATGGAAGGTTAGCACCAGATTTGGGATCCAATGCCCAAGTTAGAAGTTCCTCTCCACAGAAATCTCCTTCTTTTAGCAAACTGCGGTTGAAAAACCCACTCCTCCCACCATCTGTTGTTACACTCTCAAGGCGGCCGCGAATAATAAAAAGCATCTCATCAACTGGATCCCCCTCTCTAACTATGTAAGTTCTCTCAGTAAACAAGCATGGTTTAAGCCGTTCACAAATGGCATCAAGTAACCTCTCATCCATACTCTCAAACAGAGGAACCTACAAAATGAAGCAAAGCAGTTATCAAGTAAGATAGTATCAAAGCAATATAATATTGGAGGCCAGTTGGAAAACGACAACGCTGGAAGGAAGAAGCATCCAAGAAAGATGGGTGGAAAAGGAAAGGCAATTGAAGATAAAGACCAGCTCTATACGAAAAAAAAAAAAAAAACTGAATTGAGATCATCAAATTAGAGCACAAAAATTTCGAGGCAACATACTAGAAAATCCACTAAGCAAAACGACTATAACAAACTAGTGATCAGTTATATATATCATGCAAACATGAGAATTATGTAGTGGGGAAAAGATGCATTCCATATGCTTCAAAACAAGGACATAGAAAGACAAGGGAAATATAATTGTCATTTTAATGCATTGCACGAACAATCCACAACTTTTATTTTTCACTACCGTTAATAAAGAAGACGTCAGAAACCAAAGAAAAACAGAAAAATGAAAATGGAAAGATATGAAAAGGAGAATAGGAAAAGATCATACCCTTCTAACCAAAGCCAGACAGAGGTGCCTCTTGATATCTCTGCTCAGATCCTTTGGAAGGCTCTGAACCAAGTTTTCCTCATCAACACCACGTGTTTCCAACCACTTATATTGGTCATACCGTCTTACCCGTTCCCTGAGGTCCTGGGGAAGCATACGGTGATGCATCCACTGTTCCGAGTCACGCCTTTTGATCCTCATTTCTTCTAGCCGAATGGTAAGAGACTGAAGATAGGTCTGTTTACAACATTAAAAACAACCACAATTCCAGAACACCATTGGATAGTCAACAAGGTGCTTCAACAGTCTCAACTAAGCAATTGGTTAAATAAAACATGAGATGAAATCCAAAATTCACCTGCATGTTTCCGATCAGTAGTGCAAAGAGGATGAGTCCAAAAATGGCAAGTGCTATGGAGAATATAACCTCACCAGGATAGGTGCTAGTTTCAAGCCCCTGGCCAAGGGTACTGCAAGAGATAGAGGAAAATACAGAAGAATCCTGGTAATCAGCAATGGCAACATTGATGGTTTAATTTTACCCAAAAAGACATCAGGGTAATGCATGCATCATTTACATAATTGATTCATTTTGGCATGATATTATAGCTGAAATTTAATGGACAATTAAAACAAATGCCTTGTGTCAAACAGTAAAGTTTCTATTTTTTTGAGTTAATGTTATTTAGATAATTGAATAAGCATGCAAGTTCAGCACAATAATATATTCTATACATGTGTAAATACAGAGATGTCTAACAATAAATACTACAGAATACAGACAACGTTAGAACTTAGGAGTTTCAGTGAAATAATAAATATGAGTAAAGTTTTGCGCATGAACATAAGTCAAACACAAGCATGGAGAATGTATAATCACAAATAATTATGTCACATTAAGGAGAAGTCACAGGTGTACGCTTGCTGAGCGATAACCAAATATCAAGTTAAGAAGCATAAAAAAATGAAGGTGACAGGCCTTTTATTTCTTTATTTATTTATTTAGTCCAGCAACAAAAGGCCAAAAGTTTGGTGAAGATATGAAGGTAAGATTTAAAATAGAGTAGCAAAGATATGATTGATATAAGAGAATTGCTCTGAAATGGCCATCAGAACCCATGATCCACGAGTAACAAGGGGCTACATATGGCTTTGAGTTCTAACTGTTCGATCATTAGGAGTTGGACAGAGGCCTGTGGTCACAATGTAGATTTCTAATAGACGCTGCATTTAACATCCAATTCCCTCTTGATAGATCATAGATAACAGAAAACAGAAAATATAACCTAGCGTGCACCTATTTCATACACATTGCCAAACACAAAATGAAAACTTTCCAAGAAGTAGTCTGTTGCAAATTATCTTTCATAAAAATAGTTTTGGAAAATTATTCAATGCAAAACTACGATTAAACTGTCACTTGCAATCAAGATAAATAAATAATTATCAATGTCTCATATGAATGCAATTATCTGTTATATTATAATCCATCATACACCCCAAAATATTCTATAACTGAATCCACTGCTTTTTTTTCTTTTATTATTTTATATATCTCAACCAGCACTTAGAAGGAACACATTTTCCCACCTCAAATTCTGTAGACCCCACCATAAACAGTAGCAGTATTTGGAAAAGAACTTCGTTGATGAAACAATGCCAGATGATAAAGCATGTGTGAAGATTCCAAAATCAAATGGAGGACTATCATTATTGTCATCAGCTGGGCACTTGTCACTAAGAACAGAGTCTCGGATACCCTCCCACACGCCATAACCTTCCATCTGTTGATTCCCACAGTACAAAAATTTTTTATTGCATTTATCACTACCAATATCCTTACAAGCCTTCTGCCAGCATGTATCATTTCGTTCCACAGCCACCAAGTACCAGAATGCCCCTACTATCTGAATTATCATCCAACAAAACATAATTATACAAGTAAGCTTAATTGCAGAACAGGGATAGAACAGGTTGATAGTTGAAAATTATGCCCCAGAAATCAAAATTAGCGAGAAAGACAGGTGCAGATAGCATCAAAACAAACAGGGTCGAGAACAAATGACAACAGGTTTGATTAGTGAAATAAAGACACAAATTTAATAGGCACTTACATGACTACAAAGCATATATAATAGCAAATAATATGCAGCTCCAGCCCAAGCAGTTTCAGCAAAGACACCTGCTGTCCTTTTCATTTCTGATGTTAAGGGTACAACTCTAAGAAATCTAGGGACGTACTGAAGCAAGACAACAAAAAACAAGGCCTGTTTTGTTGCCAATACATCTGAACCATTTGAACTATGAAGAAATCGCCAAACAATAATCTGCATTTATGAAAAAATATAATGAGAAAGATATAGAAGCTGTTTGACCAGCCAAGTTGCAACTAGGATGCCATGCCACAATGACAGCTCACTGAAATTATTACTTCAGTACAGGTAACTACCCCTCCCTAATATAATAATGCACGTATGATGTAAATAGAATAATCATAATTAACATATTAAGCAGTTAAAGGACAGCAATTTTCAGCCAGATTTTCACTAAAAAATCCTATGGAGGTAATATCCATTCTGTATGAGGAATTTAGAATATTTAAATTGGCCTCCCCTGCATGTGTTCAAGACTTAACTTCAAAAGACGATGTAAATTAACACCATTACTTAGTTCCTTCAGCAAGCCAGGATTTTAAAAGACAGACAAGATTGTATGCCATAGATCCATTAATACTGATAGGCTGAAAGAAAAAAGTGTAACGAAAAAGAATTATCACAGAGCACATATATTCTATGCAAAATAAACCATCAACTGGTTATGTGTTTCACACTTTAAATTATAGAATACATGCAGCAAAAGACTGTGTCAATGTGAGAGAAAGCAGAAGCATGTATGGAAAGAAAGTGAATACACATAAATTGCATAATAACTGTGTAAAACAAGTAAAACAAGAAGAAAGAAAGAATAAAACTATGACATTAGATGTATTTAGTTCGCACAAAAATCATAAAGAAATATGATTGTGGCACACAAAAAATGGATACATGAGAAGAAAAAATCAATACAGAAAGATATAATGTGAGAAAAAGAGAGCGAGATGCATTAGAACAAGGAAAATATGCAGCCTGCAGCTATTGAATACGCAGGGAAACAACTTTTAGACCTGTGGTAATGGAAGCACAGCAACAAAATCAATGATGAAATATTGCTGCAAGTATCGCTTGGCTATTTGTGCAGGATCTATCACAAGTTCACCTCGTCCAAAAACCCGAGATGATGGAGCAATGTAAGCTGTACGAAACTGGAGAGCCATGCGAATAAGATACAAAACATCTATAATTGTCCGCAGAGTCGTTGCTGTGACTGCTAATTTTTTATCAATAGTGAGACACTTTTCCGAATCATTAATAACTGGAAGATAAAAAAATAGAGGGTCCACTGATACTGCCAGAATACATGATACGAAAAATAACTTATTGCATTGCAAGAGGAATTTATCCTGAGGATCAAAAATTTTCTTCTCTGATACTTTAAGATCCTCGGGAAATACTGCCGAAGAAACCCCAAATCCAAGTGAGCGACCAATTGACTTAAGTCCTTCAGATCCCTTTCTGATCCCTCTCTTGAAAGATCTAGATGTTGTATTGTTTGCATGAACAGAACGACCTAATCCATCAATGCTAAACCCACATTTTTTCAATTCTGTATCAGAGGATGATGATAATCTAGAGTCTAAGTCATCCAACCTGAAGAAAATAGAAAGAAAACTTGAAGTTATATGCCTTCACTTATAAAAATTTATCCAGCAGCAATAGGCTAACAGCCTTTAACTGTGACCATCAGAGAGAGAGAAGTGAAGAAAAGAATATTTATAATAGTGCTTTAGTACCTGACAAACTTCTCCCTCTGCCCACTCATGTACTGAGCTTTATAACCACAATCAAACATTTTCTATAATCGAGCAGATAAATACATCCTGCAATCTAACAAGAACAAGTCAATCAAGTGTTAAACAATTAGCACAGTTACCTAGGCTATCAGTCAAGATCCAGCAGTAAAGCAGCTCCAAAGCCAGAAGATTGCAGCGCTATTAGAAAAAAGTTTTAAATGTGTGGATAGAATAAGGAGAAAGCACAAACACCTAGGTTTCATTAGACCGATCAGGTTTATGACGTCAAGAAGTAATATTGCATACGATTTGTCTTTACGATTGTTTTAAAAGATTCCAACACCACATTATGGTGAAATTTCACATTATTCAATCCTTTCGAGTGGAGTTCGGTTCCACTGAAATCATTTGGTGAAATAATTTCACATTCGACTCAAAGCATGCTCCTGAAGATCCTAAACTCATGCAGTTAGAATTCTGCAGTTTCATCAATAAAGCATCGCTCAAAGTTTTAATGCTATACACTACTAGAACTAAACTAGTCAATATTTCTCAACAGCACAAATTATCGTCCTCTTTTTGAATTTCAATAAGCCAAATTCCTCCGCTCTCGGTCTTTAGAAGCCAAACCTAATTTTAACCAACACATACCTTTTCTACAGTTACCAAAAAGCAGCAAATTTCACCTCTTCGTCTACTAATCAAGTAACAGCCATAATTTCAATAAAAATTTCCACTTTCCTAGTTCTTTTATCTTTAGTAAGTAAAATTGCAAGTAATTGATTAAATTCTCTAGCTATATTAGTGGATCCAAAACAATGACTGTAAAACTTGATTTAAGAATTTGCTTTTATTTTCAAGTATTGTCAACATTTCCAGTCTTTCAAATAATCAAATTTACCACCTATATTTGACCGCTTAATCGAATGAAACGTTAACTTAAATGCAACGAAACGACTAACTAGAAAGCAAAGTGGACTCCTAGTCATAGATGGGAAATTCTTAGTTCAAACTTCAATTCATCAAAATCAAACAAAAAATGCATAATTTCTACAACAAACCCAAAAAAAAAAAAAGAAAAGAAAAATTTCAAACTAGAAAGCAAAATTAAGAATGCCAAAAAAAAAAAGAAAATAGTGAAAATTTCTGTATACATTATTATTAACTTTAAGTTAATAAAAATAGAGAGAAGAGAGAAAAGATACTTACAGAGAAATCCTTGAAGTTTACTTCAAAAACGAATTAAAAAAATAAATAACAAATAAATTAAAAACAAAAAAATAGATTTACAATTAGGCGCGACTGAAGGAGGAGAGAAGAAAAAAATAAAAAGGAGAAAGATGAAAAAAGTGTAAAAAGAAAGACTACACTGAAAAAGTCATTTACCGAAAAAGGGCGTCAATTTTGGAGAATGACCAAATTGACCCTTTGTTTTCAGTTTTATGGCTGTCGCTGTTTACTTCCTTTTATTTTATTTTTCTTTTATCTCATTATTATATATGCTTTCATTAATTTTCATGAAATTCTTAATAAAAAAAAGGTCAAATGCCAAAATAATAAAGATACCAAGAATTTTTTCTTAAAAAAATGAAAAAGCAAAGTTTTTATTTTTTATTGTATAAAAATAGAATTAGAAAAAGAGTTCGCACTATTTTATTTTGCTGTGCGTGTTTAATAAAAAATTTCCGTGCCACAAACCATATGCTTGAGTTCCATGGATTTTTGAGATTGTGACATTGATAGATAGTTACTGTCATCATGTCATGTGTCTGGTGATATAAACAAAGGAGTAGATGAACCAAAATCTGGAGTAGAGATCAACGTGGTCAAAGGGATTAAATTATTAAGCCAACTAAGTTAGAGTTGGCAAAGCCTGTTGCTCGACCCCCACCTCGGCCTCCTTGACACAGCTTCGGCTTAATTTTCAGGTTCAGAGTTTGTAAAGCACATTATCTTCTAGCAGCCGCCATTGCATTTATAAACAAAGAAACAAAGTGACATGAGAATGACCTCCTCAGGATCAGAGAGTATTTATCTTTTTATTTATATCCTACAATTGCAAGTATTGTCTGGGAAAATTTCTACACAACCAAGTTCTATCCAGGGACAGTGAAATTGTGGACTCCTATTCCAGAATGGCCACATATGCAAGACATGATATGAAAAGAAAATTTTTATGCCAACCTAAGGCAGTCGCCTGGCCAACTTGTTAATTGTTACGTCATGATAGTATAAAATCATCCATCAGAAGATATGAAACCCGAGATCCCTCCAAGGTCCCAGGTACGACGTCCAAGTTGTTAGATACAAAATGAAACCGACTAAAGCCAGTAGCTGATCACGTATAAATAAATGGTGCTACTTCAGAATCATATACCTGCAGAAAAAAGGGTTCAGCATTGGCAAGTTTTGTTCAGCAGCGAACAAATCATACTTGAAGAAAAAAAACATCCTGATGATGTCAAAAATATTTTATCAATCTCTTCACTAACTTCTGACCGTGCAACCTTGATCCAAATTCAACAGCAACGAGATGTGACATTTTCCGAAGAGAAACTTATGTAGAATTCTAAAATCAGAAAGATGGGAGAAAAAGACTGCACGATCATATATTCTTTGGCAAGCAAAGTAGAAAAGCACAAGCACAGTTTTGTTAAAGGCAAGGACCACTCTTTGTACCTTCCATTCATGGTCCTTAAATCAGCAATAAAGGATTATGTTTGAGCCATGAAGTCAAACAGAGGTAATAGCAGCCACTTTCTCAGCCTTGGTGCTTCAGCATATCTAAAATCGTGTTTCTAGCTACTTGGCGTAATATTTCTGGATCACTTCCTTCAATGGGCTTATGAATAACAACTTTCACAGATCCTGAATTTATGACACCCTCCATTCCTGCAGGCATGATTTTGCCTGTTCCAATTAAGGTCATAGGAATGACAGGCACTCCAGTTTTTGCTGCAACACTGAATGCACCTTTCTGCGTGTTAAAATCAAGATAAAACAATGAGCTTTTGAATAAACAATGTGCCTTTCTGCACATTAAAATCCAGATTTTCTATAATCGCTTCCTATCATCAATATGAGAGAGAGAGAGAGAGTCAGACATTTGACAACTATCAAATCAGGACTCGCAAGTATTCCATGGTACTTTTGAGAGCCATATCGCTGATTTTGAGATTGATTGCTTGACTAGAGTACTGGACAATGGCATTTGTTATCAACCTAAAATAATGCATGTGATCCCACTTGGTGTAAAGAAGATGGCAGAGGCAAGTATATTTCTTTTCATCAATGGTTCTTAGTCACTAAACAAAAGACATTCAGTATAAGTTTCTGTTGATGGTTTACTTAGTAATTGCACTTAATCAACCCAAACAAACAATAAGAATTCGAGCATGATCTCACCTTGAAATCACTTAACTTCCCATCCTTACTACGTGTGCCTTCTGGAAAGAAAAGGACAGAGCCACCATTCCTGATGAGATCCATACACCTCTTAAGACACTCCTACACAACAGTAATAGAATTTCAAATCCATACTACAGAAAGAAATAACACAAAAACTGCCTAGCTAAAAGATATTATTACAACAGATTAATCCTATATTGCCATCTAATGCAGACCTGCTAAACAGAAACAACTGCTAGAATGATAACAGAAAGACAGAAAAGCGAATACCAACTGGCTTCTGCTATCCGTGCGCTTTAATGGAATTAAACCCATCATAGACATGGCCCACCCAATAACGGGAAAAAGAAATATCCCAGTCTTGCTGATGAACTTGAAGCTTCTTCCAAGAGTTAGAAGTGTATAGATGTCTAAAAAACTCTGGTGGTTGGCAACATATACAGCAGGAGCATCCTGTGAAGGCAAGTTCTCCAATCCTTCAAACTCAATTTTAAAGAATGGAGCAACAGTTGTTGTAGCCCAAAGTTTGGCAATAAAATGCTGAGCTTGCCTTCTGTAGCGATCAAACAAAAGCACAAAGGGGTGTGCCACCACCATAAACCCAATCAGTAAAATGGCTGCAATAGCTGTGACAGCATAGAAGCATACCCCTCTGACCTTTGAACTCAGATTAATTTCTGCATTTTGAAATTTGAAGAAAAGGTAAAATTGTGATGGCACAAGAGTTAAAACAAAAAGAAAACCAAAATAGGTCAATGACTAAATAACTTTCAGGAAAACCTGATAAAGGATTAGCAGCATCAGGGATCCCAGTCCCAGCAAGTTCAGATCTCGCAACTATATATCTGGACAGTTTGTTCTGGTTATGTAATTTACGATTGTAAAATGATCTATTTAAACCCTCAATTGGACTAAAATGACACCGGGATTCACCATCAAGCACCCTCGAAATATGCAAAAAGTTATTTTGAGCAGCTGCAAAATAAAGGAGAGAAGCTAATATGTAAAACCTCCATAAAGAAAAGTTGCTTATCTATACATGTATCAACTACCAAACCCCTCACTTGGCATCAACATCCAAATAACCTTTTATACTAAATTACAAGAACAATTTAAACCCAAAAAAAAAAAAAAAGGAATCTCAGATGAACAAATAATAAGTTTGCGGAAATTTTACAGTGCATCCACATTTTACAGCGTTAATCAAACATAAAGAACATAGCTTTAATGTAAAAATTAACTTACAGTTAAATGAATTTCTCCAAGTTGCCCGTTTACACAGAGAGTAGCCAAAATAAGCCTTTTTTGGATCATAAAACTGCATTAAACAATATATTAAGAACAATGTCGTAAAGCAAATCATTAGTGCATAAAAAGGGGAAAAAATCTCAAATTTGTAAAACTTTCTCCAATAACAGAATCAACTTGAAACACTGTCTAAACTCTAAAGATCAAACATTTCAAATTGAAAAAAATCAAGCAAATCAATAATAGCTAATAAATTTGATAAAAAAAAAAAAAAGCCTTTTTCCCCTCTATTTAGAAACCCATGTAGTTTACTCAACTTTACCCGATACAACAAACCTTTCCCTCAATTTTTCTACGGAAACAAACAGATAGACAAAAAAAAAGAAAAAAAATACCAGCAAGAAAGGCGACGTAGAAGAAATCCTGGGCTTTGGGTAATCTGGAAAAAGAAAAAAAAAAGGAAAGAATCAATAAATACAAAGAATAATACGAATACGTAGATAGGAAAGTATAGATATACGTATCTTACAGAGAGGGAGAGGAGAAAGAGAAGGGAGGGAAAAGAGTTCCATGGTAACTGAGAAAAAAGGTACTGAAAGAATGTGGGAGGCTTGGGTTTGATGGGAAATACTTTGAAGAGTTTGTTAGATTTTCATTTCATAGATTTCGTAACGGGAAAGGATAGTTTGAGGGGTAAAGTCACCAGTGGCGATAGATTTACCAATTTCGAGGCCTTTTGATATTCCCAGTTCTTATTTTATTCTTTTTGCCTTTCTGTCTTTTTTTTTTTTTTTGGCGGAATTATTTGGGAGTGTTGAAGAAGCTTGATGAGAAGTTGGGATTGGGCACTTTGCTGTCGCTTCGTCCATGGCTGCAAAGTTCAAGCGATAAAACTTTGTATTTTGTCTGCTATCACGACTGATATTGTTCGAGGCCCATATCTAACCCAGCCCACACCTTGGACCTTGTATCCTACCGGGCTCCCAGTTACTCGGCTCTGTTTTTCAAAGAATTTTTTTTTCTTCTGTACGTTTGTTTCCTCTCCCTTCTTCATGACTTTGATTCAACGGGCTTATGTATAAATATGTGTATATATATCCATGAAATTCTGAGAAAAAGTATCATGGTGCCATGTTCTTTAATGATGCTTTGTGATGATGTGAAGAGTCTTCTCATGAATGTTGTAGTAACCTGGCTTGAAGAAGTGGATACAGGTTTTAATTTTTCCACGAAAAATACCTTGTAAATAATAAAACGATTAGAACGGTTCAATTATGAAGGAAATGGAAAATTAGAGAAGTGGTAATCCTTGTACTTGAATAGTCTGTTTTGTTCTCAATTATAAAGTGTTACAGCAAACCAACTTAAAACTATGAGAACAAATTAGGGCATTTGATAAGAAATGTGGTAGTTGATGCATCAAGTATATGATTGACATGGAAAGTCTGATCAACTAGCGTGGTCGGGTATTCTCAGGCTTGGCAATACCGGCAGTGACTTTTGCCACGTCCAGTGCAGAGGCTTCAGGTTTCTTCTTGGAGTACAAGACGAAGTAACCAGTGGTGGCAGCAATGGCAGCACCTCCAATGGCCATTTTAAATGGACATGGTCCTTTTCTTGTCTGGTGAAGTACTTCTGTTGAATGTTGCGCTGATTGATCTGGTCCTGCCATATTGCGTTTAACACTGTCTCTCTTATCTGTTTATTTCTTCTTTTAATGATGTTTGTTTCCTTTCTCTGTTTTTGTTCCTTCCTTTAATGATGTTTGTTTCCTTTCTCTGTTCCTGTTACTGCGAAATTTAAAGGGAAACATGAAGGTGGCAAGAAAAATAGGAGCCAGTTAATGGACAATTGACGCGGAGAATCCACATTGAGAAGTTATGGTGGTTAATGACAAGTGGCAGTGGACTGTTTGAAGTAGGTCCAGAAGTTATGGTGCACAAGACTCCTCTGGATTACCAGCAATTTGCCATTACTCTGCATTTCGTATTCTAGCCTTAAAAATCTCTTTAAGAAGATTTCTTAAAATAATTAAACACAATAAGAGAAATGAAACGCTTACATCCATGAAATCAGGATGCAAATAAGTGACAACCATCACGAGAACAAAAATCATAAAACTAAGTATCATCTTTTAAAAGAACTTTGAATTTCATTTCATTTAAATGCCAATATTCAATTACAACAAATATTTTATATGGAAATGAAGAATACAAAATAAAGGGGAAAGACCCTAGCTCAAACCACCATTTCAGCTTCTTGAAGGTTGGTGGGGATCCCAATATCCAACCTCATGGTTGGTTTATATTGATCAGGCACAGCAGCACCAGCCTGCACACAAATTTCCACCACAGCAGGGGCTTGCCCATAGAAAGACCTGAGTTCCCGCTGCAATGGTGGTCCCTTCACATCAGGGACATGCCACACGTATCTTGGAGGTATCAAGTCATCAAGCACAGCCGCTTGCCAACCATGCTGCCCATTTCGTTGCTGGTGCTTGTAAGCCCCACAGTTCTGTGCTTTGTGCCCAGAGGGACCCACATGCACCTCCGGGCAATATCCACAAACCCTCACAGGATACATCCTCATCAGCTTCTTGGCACCTCTCCTCATCCGTTCCCACGCTTGGAGAGTTTCCTCAGCAAGTAAGACCGTTTCCTCTTCATCGCAAGGAGCTACTATCTCTGAATCTGGTATTTCAGTCAATATTGGTTTCAGGGGAACTTCTGGGACAGGATCTGGTAGTTCACTTTCATCAGCATCAACGAATTCCCGTTTCCCAATACGAATGATTGGCTTTCTTCTCCTCTTTGTTGGAAATTCAGGAACATCAACACCAGCTTGGATGCAGAGCTCGACTACTGCTGGAATCCAAGGAATTGAGAATCTCTCATCATGACGTATGCGCTTTCCAAGGCGATCATATAGATGGTAGGCATCAACCGGCAAGAATACATCTTCAACAGTTGCATATGTCCATTCATGAAGGCCATTGCGGATGGAAGCACCTTGACCCCTACATGACTTGAATGGATGCCCAACAGGACCAACATGAATTTCATTACAATAACTGCAAAAATGTGAGATTAATAGATCACTACAGCATACTACTACCTGAAAACATTCAAGATTGGAAATTAATTTTAGAGAAACTAATGAAGTCTGATTATTACTGGAAAGAAATCTAAGTCTAATTACATGACAAACATAGCGTGGAATCATTCAAGAATAGTCAAGCAGTGGAACATTCACATTACATGCATCTAATGACGGGACATTAATAAATGTTAAACACATTGTCTATATGATTAAATTTTTTCCTTTCCAAATTTTCAATCAATTTAAATGATGAGAGTTTTCTTTCTCTCAGCGTTATTACAAGCATGTAGATGTGAAGATGAGAACTTGGCTAAAATAACTACCACAACATCAAGAATCAGCCTATCACTTACAAGGCTTGGCTAAAATAACTAGTGCAGTGTTAAATGCATTCCACACAAAAGCGTGCACTACATAAATTGTAAGCCACTTACCTAAAATTAACAAGGAAAAGCAGGAGGTAATAGTAGTCAGTCATGGTATATTAAGGATACTAATTAATCTTTGTGAGAACATTAAATTTCAGTGCTAGTAGCACCTCTATGACAGCCCAGTGGCACTACTCAACCTTTTTGTACAAAAATGGAGCCACATTGATGGATAATAAATTGAAAATTTGGGGGTAAGAAATTTCATGATGCCAAATGCAAACATTATTTCATAAGCCTATACTGTTACATTACAGTGAAAGAGGTTAGTTTTTCCATAAAAACACCATGCTTTTGTGAACAGTAAATGGGTGCAAGGCACTCTCTGTATCAGGATGTTCATAAGGAAATAAGAATGGAAAAGGGAGAAAATTACCCGCAAGCATGAACATTCACCACCTTCAAGAGTTTCTTGAGATTGTTAATTAATGTAACCCTTGCACTCATCACGTCGTAGGCAATGGGTACCAGGCTTTTAACAATTAAGCCATTCTTTGGAGGTGGAACTGGTTTTTTAGGCTGGCCTTTGCTCTTCTTGAACCTCTCCCTAGCAGCTCGCCTCAGCTCCACTATGGGTACAGGGAAGGGTTTTTTCTCTTTCTTTGAATAATAGCGAGGCAAGTCTGCATTTTGAGGGTGATCACATCTAACAACCAATGCACATGATTGATGAAACTTTCTAGATTGTGCTCTAGGCTCTGACTGCAGAAAGCACCAACACCGAAAATATGCATCTATTAGAATTTTTGTAAAACTAACAGTTACTCAGGAAGCAAAGAGACTCCAAGAATCTAATATTTCATTCGGTATTGAAGAATGATACTATTAAAATTAGTAAACTGCTGGCTGCTATAAACATGCTAAGGGTCAGAACTTGACAGTTCTATGGCATCTAAAATTAGATTATTTTGAATGATTCGTTAACTAATTTGAAAAATGATGTATGTTTAACCAAATCAAGCTGAAACAAAAAGGAAACCTCTGAAAGAAAAACTCATAAAATCTACCCTTAGGTTCAAGCAAAAGATTAATGTATAATCTATTGCTATGTGTTAAATAAGGATAAGCATTTACCAACTAGTTCAAGTTTTAATCAATTATTCAATTGTTAGCTCTTAAACCTATTCTATTGAAGCTTCAGTTCAACATTCAGTCAAATAAAAACATTCGCTGACTACTTCAACAATAAGTCAGCCAAATATGGAGTATAGGGAAGTAAAATATGAAGTCGATTGCAGCATACTGCGTACCTTCATAGAAGAAAGCAAACTAAGGCCCGAGTAGAGGTTAAGTTTCAAAAAATCCGCTCTTGAGGGGCATGAAAGCATTGATGGCCTAATTCTTGGACGCAAAGGCATTAATTTACCTCGAGGCAGATGATTGGTGGAACCACAATCCACCCCTGAAACCAAAATTACATATACTTCTTAAAAAAACCCTCAAGAAGCAAACTGTAAAAGTCGTTTTTTTACAAACAATCGAGATGGCACAAATAAAGCTGTCATTAATCTCAAAGAAACAAGAAGACCCTTTTCCTGAATAATGAAAATAAAGGTAAATAACCAATCAAAACCCAGAAAAAGAATCTCATAAACAAGAAGTTTGTATTTGAGAGAGAAAAGAGAGCTTACAGCAGCGAATTGAAGCGGAAGCTGACATTTTTTGGGTTTGATGCGAAATATTTTGAAGATTAGATTTTCATTTCATAGATTTTGTAAGAGGAAAGGAAAGTTTGAGGGGGCAAGTGGCCAATGGCGATAGATTTGCCAATTTCAAGGTCTTTCGATATTCTCAGTTCTTATTTTATTCTTTCTGTTTTTTTGGCGGAATTATACAGTAACGTTGAAGTAGCTTGGTGAGAATTTGGGATTGGGAGCTTTGCTTTCTCTTCTTCGATGGCCGCAAAGGTCAAGTGATAACTCCTTGTATTTTGTCTGCCATCACGACTTATATTTTTTGAGGCCCAAATCTAATCCAGCCCACACCTTGGACCTTCTATCGTACTGGGCTCCCACTTAGTCGGCTCTGTTTTGGAAAGAATTTTTTTTCTTCTGTATGTTTGTATCCTCTTCCTTCTTCATGACTTTGATTCAACAGGCTTATATATATACATGAAATTCCGAAAACAAGTATCATGTTGCCATGTTCTTTAATGATGCTTTGTGATGATGTGAAGAGTCTTTAAAGAATGATGTAGTAGCCTGGCTTGAACAAGTGGATACAGGTTTTAATTTTTCCACGAAAAATACCTTGTAAATAATAATACGAATAGAACGATTAAATTACGAAGGAAATGGAAAATTAGAGAAGTGGTAATCCTTGCATTTGAATAGTTTATTTTGTTCTCAATCATAAGGTGTTACAGCAAACCAACTTAAAACTATGAGAACAAATGAGGGAAGTTGATGCATCAAGTAGATGATTAACTTGGTAAATCCGATCAGCTAGCGTGGTCGGGTATTCTCAGGCTTGGCAACACCGGCAGTGACTTTTGCCACGTCCAATGCAGAGGCTTCAGGTTTCTTCTTGGAATACAAGACGAAGTAACCAATGGTGGCAGCAATGGCAACACCACCAATGGCCATTTTAAATGGACATGGTCCTTTTCTAGTCTGGTGAAGTACTTCTGTTGAATGTTGAGCCGCTTGATCTGGTCCTGCCATATTGCGTTATACACTTTCTCTCTTATCTGTTTGTTTCTTCTCTTAATGATGTTTGTTTCCTTTCTCTGTTCCTGTCAGGCTCTCACTGCGAAGTTTAAAGGGAAACATGAGGGTGGGAAGAAAAACAGGAGCCAGTTAATGGACAATTGACACGCGGAGAATCCACATTGAGAAGTTATGGTGGTAAATGACAAGTGGCAGTGGACTGGTTAAAGTAGTTCCAGAAGTTGTGGTGCACAAGAATCCTCTAGAATACCAGCAACATGCAGCCATGTGTCAATTATGTTGTATTCCCATTAGTGCAAGTGTAATACCACAAAATAGAAATGTATTTTATTTACAAATTAGTTTGTAACTCATGTGTATGAAATAATTTTATTTATTTAAATATTTATAAGTATATAAATTAATATCATTTAATTTACATTTTTAAAGTATATATAAAATATATATATATAACAATTGTTACAATATAGTTGTCATTTTGATTTATAAAGGTTGAATTATTATCTATTTTGAATTAAAAAATTAAAAGAATTTAATAATAATAATAATAATAATTACTACATTCTTTTTTTTATATTTTTACTGGCTAATTTTCATTTAATAAAAAAATAACATAAACATGTTAAATAAAATCTAAAAAATTTTCATTTATCTAAAAAGAATAAAAAATAGTATGATTCATGACTTGTTAATTTAATAGCACTTTAATAGGAATATTCACAAGTTTAAAATCGATGTAGCAAAACAAATCTAAATATGATATTCAATCTGATTAAAGAAAACAATAAAGAGATGCCATCAATTACAACCTAGCTATAGGAAATACTAAATTAAAAATTTAGCAATTGTAAATTGATATACCTATCTTTAAAATGTTGATTTATCACAAATTAAAAATAAAAAGTACCTCAAAAATGCTAAAACTTCTTTAATGTGAAAAAGATAATTGTTTACAATTTTAAATTAGAAATGAGAAATTATTAATAAATCATAAGTGATAGATAAGATAGATTTGTTTAAATTTAATTCAATAAATGTGAGTGATTTTAAATTGAGAAAATATATTTTTTAAATTATGAAGAAAAAGACACAAAATAATTACTAACATTACCATTGCAACAACAACATCAAATAAGGAAAAAAAAAGTTTTGATTATGTACATCCTTTATTATTAATTCAACTTGTTTTTCATTATTTTAGAGACTCTTTTGTTATTCTTAGAGTGGTTGCTCTCAAGGTGATTATATTGCTAACATTTTTTTATTTTCTTTTTGCATGTTTTCTTTTTTTTTTTTTTCAATTTCTGAAGATTGTAAAAAGAAACTAAGTTTCAACTGTTGATAATTCACATACAGTTTTTAAGAAAAGTGATGTTATATGATCAAATAAAAAACATAAAAAAATGAGACTTTCATACAATGCATCACCAAAGACTTTGAATTTATATATATTTATAAAGTCCATACAAAGATTGCATATTTTTCTTGAGCTAAAAATATAAAAAAATGTAAATTAAATTATAAAAAATGCAATGACTACTTTTTATTAAATTTTAATATATCTTAAGAAATGGTATTAAAAAAAAAAAAAAGAAGAATGAAGAATTGAATAAATGGAAGAGAAAAATCATAAAAAAAGTATCGAAATACCTTAAGTAAAAAGTATTGAAATATCTTAAGAAAGAATTGAATAAAAAATAATATGCATGTTATGGAATTATTAAAAGTGGGATTGACATACCTTTATTAAATTGTGATATTGATCAAAATACTACAAAATATTGAAACAATAAAGTTGAAAGATAAAAGTAAATCATAAAAAGGTATTGGCATACTTTAACTAAACTGAAATCTTGATGAAAACCTTGAAAAAAAAATGAAAATTGTTAGAAAATGTGTGTTGTAAAAGGAAAAAAATGAATAAAAATAATGTGCATGTTGTGGAATTCATACTTTACACCAGTTGCGCTTGCATATGGTCTTGCGGCCATGTAATACGACCCAACCGGCTAATCGACGGTCACCAGAACATTGACTGTCTGGTCCAGGCCAATAACCACGACGTTGGTGACATAAAACTTGGTGTAGATGGCGTCAACGGAAACGATTGTCATCTTATGGTTGGTTATCTTGTAGAAAAGTTAGTTGTTGAGTGCAGCATCAATAATACATAAGAGATAGATCTTCCCTTGCTCCACCTTAAGCTTGTACATAATGGGAAACCACATAATTAGATTAAACATCAATTAACATGTAAAAATTATGGAGTACGTGCATGGAGATGTGTATCGGTAATCACTTACTGTTTTGAGAGCATGGGGTAGAGATCACCAGGCCGTCCATTTATTGTGTAAGCATTAGAAACGTTAGGAGCAACAATTAATTTAATACTAAAGTTTTAAATTAAAAGTTAACAAGAAAATCTAATGATAATGCCATGATCTCTAAGATAAATTATGTAATTTTAAATTAAGATTTACGTATAAATTTAAATTTATATAAGATATCTTTTATTTAAAATCATAAGAGATATGGCAGCAAAAAAATTACCAATTATAGAAAAAAAATTCAAATAGATAATTAGTAGTTACCAAAATAAGTCAAATAATTAAAAGGTTATAAAAGAAAAGTATAAGAAGTCAATAAACCACAATATGTTTGAACGAAAAACTATTGAATTTTAAAAGCTATACTTGAATTTTGGATTTAATATACAGATAAGATTGAATTTCGAAAGTTTAGATAGTTAAATAATTTTTTAAATATATTCTTTTAATAAATATCTTTAAATTTTACGTATCATTATAAAGATAAATTTTAAGAATTTTTATATTCGAAAAAATGTTTGGAAAAAAAAAGGATATTGGGCGGCGTTGAAAGCTTTTTCATTATCGAGATCTATTTTTACGGGTAATTCAAAAAGTTTTTTTGTACGACAAATAATTTTTTTTTAATCTGAATTGGTTTAACTCGAATAAGATACAAAGGTTTTCTTTTTTGAATATCTTTTTTTTTTTCATTTCCGGGATGGGGATTCTCATTTTCCCCATCGCCCCATTTGGTATCTTAGTGTTATAATAATTTGTTATTTTTATAATATTCAATTTCAATTTATAATAATAAATAATTAAATAATAAAAATTTGTATATTTATACTATAGCTATATCGGAGCACATATATATATATAAGAGCTTTAACTGGGTTATTGAAACTAATCCATTAAGTTTCGAGTGTTAAAAAAAAATTATAAAAAAAAATTATTCATGTAAGTATCTATATCAATAAATCTTATCTGATAACTATCTATGTTATAATATAATATATTTATATATATATATATAATTTATGCCGAATGTGTACTCCAATGAAGAATTCCAATGGTGTTAAACTTCTTTATAATCAATCCCGTTTTCCAGCATCTCCATTCCAAAACCTGAATTAAATATAAATATATATGATCAAATATATAGATGTGATGAGAACAAAATAATAGCTAGTTTTGATGAATTATTTGATAGAAAATTAAAAAAAAAAAAAAAGTTTATTGGGATGAACATGTAAAATTAATTTTTAGTAATTAAAATATTACATAAGTTAATAAAACAATTACTATATGTTTTTTTGTTATCATTCATCGGTCATTAATTTGTATCATTTGATTCGTTTCAGATTTTTGGTTGGTATGTAAAAAAAACACAAAATATATGCATGCTTTATTTATGAATATCATCTAAAAACATAAATATAGTAGTAGCATGGAAAATTAAAGAAAGCAATATTCAAACAGATATATATGATAACAATAATTAATTAACTTACTGTAATGTCATGTCCCTTATTCTTCAAAATAGCTGAACATGATGTATAGTTACGTTGGAAATCACCAAAAGCAGGAAAATTTAGCTTGAGAAATTGAAAACATTTTAAAACTACTCATGAGCATGACAGAAAGTGGAAGACTATTTAAAATGAAAACATTTATTTCTAAATGGAAGGTCTATCCGATTAGTTTCATGAATGTGATGGGGGATGAGGTGATATATGGGATAAGGGAATTTTATTTGAATTTAAATTTTAAAACTTTTAGATAATTTAATAATTTTTAAATATATTTTTTAATAAATAGTTTAAAATTAATAATTCACATTGGCATTCATATAACAAAACTAATCAAATATCTATTTATTTTGTGTGTGTGTGTATATATATATATATCATATGATTTATAAAGATAAATATAAAAAAGTTATATACATAGGCATTCATGTAACAAATCTTATCACATATTTATGTATGTTATAATATATATATATATATAATTTATGAAGATAAATATATTTTTTGAGACATTTAAATTTAAAAATATCTCTAAATAAGTAAAATTCGAATCAAATAAAATGAATTTGTTAAATTTAAAATTTTTATTACAATTAAATCTACTTGAATTTTATTAAGTAAATATTTGAATTCAATATTGAATCTAGATGAATAGTTTTATCTATTTCATAACCCAAAATCTAAATTGGTGGAAATGTTAATTAACAAATTTTTTTGTTTGTTAATCTCTTCCAACTTTTGGTATTTGAATAATAAATAATAAATATTATCCTATTTGAGATTTATTTTTCTTTTAAAAAGATATGTTCTTGATTTTACACACTAATATTTTAGATTTACAAAAATATATTATTACATTTGAGATTTTTAAATTTTAAAAAATATAGATTTAGATTATTAAAAATTTATTTTAAATGAAAAATATCACTATATTTGAGATTTTTGAATTTAAAAAGATATTGTCTAGATTATTAAAAAAATTCATTTAAAATTTTTAAAAATAATATCTCTAAATTATATTTTGTAGATATCCACATAATCAAGGTTTTTTAGGCAATTTCTTATGTGTCAAGAATATAAATTATGTAGTATAAATTATTTACATAAATATTTACGTGACATATCTTATAAAGTTTTTATATATCTTATAATATAATATTATATATAATTATTCTAAATAAAAATTAAAATTTTCACCAACACTATCAAATTTTATTTTTTCCTTTTCATTTTATCCTAAATGGACCCCAAGAAAAATAGCCATATCCCAATTTTAAATGCTCCAAGCTTTAATTATAAAACAGGAAGAGTAGGCCTCCGGACTTCCAGAGCTCATAAAATATGCAATTCAATAATTTTTGCATCAATTATATCAAACACTACTAATTAGAAGAGTCAAAAAGAAAATTTTATGAAAGAAGAATCAAAGTTCTGAGATAAATAAATTGAAAATCTTTCTTTAAATAAATTTCCTGAATTTTATTTTTCCACTTTCTTTAGTCATGTAGTTTATCTCAGTCATGAGAGAAGGAAAGCTAAATCCTAGTTAACCAAATTAAACATCAACTTAAAAGCTCTCTCTCTCCCACCAAAACCTCAACAAAATCCCATAAATTAAAATTAAAAATCACCCATCTTCTTCTCTCTCAAATCAACCAAAAGTTAAACTGCATTATCACATCAACCGATATCATGCAAAAATACATAAAGGACGATCAAAGATCATATTCAAATTAACGCAATCAAATCAATTAAAGCATACATTTTTGTTCACTGCAAATCACAACCAAATCAAACACGGATTATAATTAACCATTCACGTGATCATCTTTCTCTCAAACAAAAGTAAAAGCAACCCCTAGCAGAGAGGCTGAAGCCAAGGAGCAGCCACCCTTCTTTGCTTGTGCCTGGCTGGTGCTAGATTTAGAAGGTACCGGAGCAGCTGCTGGTGTTGGAGGCTCAACAGGGGGATTATCATGGTCATAATGTTTTTCAGACATGACAACAACTTGAAGCTTCTGTCCCTTCTGACAGTGACCATCAGCTCCACTGATGAAGTAGAATGGGCCTGATTCGTCCAGCTCGACCTTGGTGTTACCGTCTTTGTATTCGTTGATTGGTTTGGATGTATTGCAGCTTTCATAGTTCTCCTTTGTCACTTGAAGCACTGAATCAACCTTGCTATCGTACTTCAAAACTACATATACAAGAAAACGATGAGAAAGCCAGCATTTTTATTTAGTGTCAGGAACTAAAAAAAGTACAAGAAAAAAAATTATGCTAGATTAAAGCACTAATTCTAACCTATACAAGTGTATGCTTAATTAGTAAATAAAAACCAAGATGGATTTTCATGGAAAATTTGAGCTGGAGCTGAGAAAAAAGCATAAAGAATCTGTGTTGAAGAAAAACAAAAGTGAAATGGATGATAAAATATGGAGAACATCAAACAGAAAACTGAGGATATGAGATGAACAAATCTTATATGAGATATTACTGAGAAAATCGCCAACTCTAAAACGATATTTCCGAGCCCACTGATTCAGAGAATCCGACGAGTTATTTGGGATTTTCCATGCATTTTCACTGCCTCCAACGAGAATATCCTTCGCTTCACAAAAGCTAAACAATACAAAAGCCAAGACCAAAACCGGAACCAAAGTTTTCAAAGATGCCATTGCTTAAATCCTGAGACAGAGCAAATAACTACGATACGAATATCACTTTACAGACATTTCCCTGTAGGGTTTGGCAACTTAAATAGTCGTCAGGTTCGGTTCACGGCTTGGGATACCCGAATCTCTTCATGGATGACACGTGTTAACCCCTTATTTGCAGAGTTTTTTTTTTGGCCAAAGAAAAGAGAACCATATTTGCAGAATTTTTTCATTGAAATTATCTGGTTTCTCAAAGGGTGTTGTAAATGTTGAAATTGTGTGGATCGAAGCTTCAAGGAAGGGACCTTTTGGGAGCTTTTCCTAATCTCTGAGATACGCTTGATTGTATGAAGCTTGTACAAATAAGGGAAGTTTGGAAAGCAGTTTTGAGGAATCAAAGTTAACAAAGGAGGATAGCATTTACTTTCCCATGCAAAAGTTGGCAAATTTGAAGCAGAAGTAGTATGTCTTTTATTTGGGACTTTGATTTTATTTTGTTTCTGTTAATACTAAGATGAGCACATGCATGTTTTCCTCTTATAATTAGACTTTAATTCAAAATGGGAATAGGTATATTATGCTATATGATTCATGAAAATGCTGGAATATCAGTAATTAAGACTATAAATTTTTATTGATTGGGTTGATGATTTATATTCTGAAAACAGTACTTGGAATACATGCTCATCTGGCTACTTAATTTCTCATGTAGGTTCAGGAGATATTTACTCTTTATTAAACAATACATGTTAATTTTTGTTATATTAAAAAAAAAAAAACAACTCACAGTCTAAAAATAATATAAAGAGTTGAAAGTGTACCAATTATTCATTTGATCAAAAGACATGTCATTGAAATAGACATCTGAAAGTTACAGATTCGAAAGAGTTTAGATTCGTAATATGTTTTTCAATAAAATATGTAATAAGATAAGGAGTTTAAGAATCAAATAAAAACTTAAAATAAAATTAAAAATATTGAATTTAAATTTTAAATATCATTTTTTAAAAATAATTATATAAATCAATTGAATTAAGTTTTAAATTTATAACATATACTAATTTTAATTCTAAATTTCAAACCATAGTAATAATAAAGTTTAAAGGATCTTTTGATTTAAGCCCTAAAACTTGAATTGCATAGCCTGAATTATTATGGAGAATAAAGTCCCTACATTTTCTTTCAATCAAATAGTTGGTGCATTTTCAATCAAAAGTTAAAACCTGACCTTTTCCAAAAGAATCTTTTTCCCCTTTCATCAGAAAAAGAACAAAAAAAAAAAAAACAAATTAGTTTTTCTTTTCGGCGAATCATAGAAGTTGGAGCATTGGAGAATTGAATGGACATGAAAGTTGAAAAATAAATCAAAGCCTACAGGCTACAAGCATGCTAGCCTTCCTCCAAAAGAAGGATCCAAGATTGCTCAAATTTTGTGGGTAGTGCTTTTAGTATACTTAATTGGTACGAGAGAAGCTTCAAACTGTGGTCCTAACTTGAGGAAGAGATAAATACTGGAAATCATTTTCACATATGAAATTCCACCAGAGAAATTCTACATCTTGTCACTGAAAACTGAAATTTTCCTTTTACTATGTTAGGAAAATGGGCTTGTATTCACGCAATTACAATTTACAACGGCAAAATGATAAGAGTAGGGCCAATGAAACTGTTCAATTTTGACAGTTGCTGCAACGGCAACGGCTTTTTTTTTTTTTGCCTCGCTTGCCGTTCCCCACTATAAAAATGGGCATAAATGCTTCCATGTTCCTCAATCTTCTCACATCCTCCTCTCCAATCTCCATCATTATTACATACCATAACACTCTCAAACTACTTTACAAAGGCATGGCTTCAAGGAGAGGTTTATTGTCTTCAGTTCTGCTTATGTCTCTTCCTAACGTTCACAGATGCAAGGGAACTCTTAGTTGGAGGCAAACCCAATGCTTGGAAAATCCCTTCATCTGAATCTGATTCTCTTAACAAATGGGCTGGAGCGTCACGTTGCCAGGTTGGAGACTCTCTAGGTAACAATATCAATCACTCATTATCAAACTCTGGGTCCTTTTTGTTATTAATTTATCCACGAATGTTCACTTTATTTGTATTTTTTTTTTTTTTGCAGTTTGGAATTATGATTCCAGCAAGGACTCTGTGATCCAAGTGAGCAAAAATGACTATGAAACATGCAATACGTTGAGCCCTATAGCTGCATACAAGGATGGCAACACTAAGGTGAAGCTTGAGAAATCAGGGGCGTACTATTTTATCAGTGGAGCTGAGGGACACTGCCAAAAAGGCCTGAAACTGATCGTCGAGGTTATGTCTGCAAGAAGCCAGTTGATGGGAATCTCACCAGCACCCTCTCCGATCGAAATTGACGGCCCTGCTGTGGCTCCAACAAGCAGTGGCTTGAGCTTGAAATGTGGCTTGGTGGTTACGTTTGGGGGATTGATGGGGCTGGCTCTGTTTTGAAAAACCAGAAATATATTCAACTAGTTGCTGCTGCTTAAGGAATCATTCATTCGAATGATTATAGAAGGAAATTTTGTATTCTTATGTTGGATTATTCTCTTCTGAGATTACAGGGGAAGCATATGAATTATTTATTATTTTTCTGCTTAAATGGAACACGATCTCTTCATGTTTTATTCTTACAATTCACTTAATCCAGTTCGACCTCAGTATCTTCTCATTCAACTAATTGGACAAGATGGCGTTCAGAAACACGGTCCCGATGTCAGAAGAAAAAGGATTCAGAACATAGATGAGAACATAAACAGATGTACAGTCGCAAAGGACTGATACACCTCCACCAATGTAACGCAGTTACAGCAAAAGAAAACAGTCATAAAAGTTGAGCATTGCAATGCAATTGTGAGTTTACATCAAGCATTCACTCATTTCAGCAGTGTCTTGACTATGGATTTGACGTTAAGTTTCTTCAGGTCTGTATATGACTGGCCACAGCCAACAAACATGACCGGTGCTCCCGATATGTAGACCATTGACAACGCAGCCCCAACCTACATCAATTTGGCAGTGTGATCTCTCAAACCAACAAAATATGAAAACCTTCTCAAATCTCAAACTCATTTTACCTTGTCGTCAATAGTGTCAAACTTGGTGAGCAAAATCCCATCTATCAATCTTGGAGTAGGAGAAGTAGAGAGGTCAGCCAATTTCTGCAGGAAGAACAGGGCACAGCTTTATAACAGAGATTAACTTATATATAGGTACAACAAATAGATTTGAATACAATAGACAAAATGCTTAAATATGAAAGCAAACCTGGTTGAATTTTGATAACTGGTCAACAGCATCATTCCCGACTAGTGCCTCTCCAACAAATAAGACAAGATCTGGATTGTTGAGGTATATAAGCTTCGAAAGGGCTCTCATTAGTGGTTCATTATCCTGATGAGTATACCGATAATATCATTACAGTGCTAACAAGGAAAGCAATATCACTAGGATTGCATTTAAATGAACTTCAAAGCAAAATAGCTCAATTGGTTGTTGGCCTCTGGCAAAACCAACATGGTTGGTTCCTTCGCTAGTTCTTGCAGTTGACATTCACAGCCAACTACGTCCCAAGCAAACCTGTTTTGAATGGGTTATCCAGATATCCTCTAGCTTATTCCATTCAATTTCACAGTAAATAATGTATTGATTGCAACTGGTTTCCATTATAAAAGTTATACCTCTATCATGGTCCATAGTCAGAACCATTTACTTTTTATTTTCAGGCTTCTGAAAGCAATAAAAAATATGATAAAACTAGCCACCAAGCAGTGTCCAAAGTAGAAAGTCTTCAAACAAATAAATTAACTGATTAGAAAATACCTGCATCCGACCAGCTGTATCAACAAGAACAACATCGGAACCATTACGAGTGGCCTCCTGAATTGCTTCCTTTGCTACAATTGCAGGATCTTTCTCGTACCCTTTCTCAAATATAGGAATCTGGTAAGGGCAACAAGTAGCAAGTCAGAAATAAAAGTGTAGCTATACCAATGATAATCATTATTACATGAAGCAAACCGCCTTCGAGCATAATGGGGCCAAATATGTTGAAAATATAACATTTAGTATTGATGTAATACCTGGAGTCTACGTGCATGTGTTCTCAACTGCTCAACAGCTCCAGATCTGAATGTATCACAAGCAGCCATCATAACACTAACATTGTGCTGCAGAAGCCAGTAAGCGACCTGCAAAGTAACATTTAAGGTTCGCCAGCCTGACCAGAAGGCATGTCCCTAAGTACAAATCTAGACATATTAGCAGTTAAATCAGCTAAACCTTAGCTAGATTTGTTGATTTCCCAACTCCATTGACACCAACAAAGACAACAACATATGGCTTCCTCTGTTCCTTGGCAGCATGCACATCCCTCAGTATGTCAATGGAGCGCCTAGGAGTTAAAATACGAACAAGGGCTTCTTCCATTGCAGCCTGCGGTCACAATTTAACGTACACAATTAAATTTATAGAAAATCAAAAGGCAGGAAAACTAAAAGAAAAAAGAAAATTTAGAAGTCCACATAATAAAGATGGAAAGTTTGTAGACCTGCACTGTTGAAGTGACCCTTGTGAATGAGGCCAGCTTTTTCCCTTCAAGACTTGCAGCCACTGACTCACAAAGCTTCTCAGCTATCTCCTCAGCCTGTAAATGCCGCATATGAATAAGTAGCCCTACAGATATTGAGAGGTAATAATATGTAAGAACTCAAGTATGTTAAATTTAGCAGAAGACATACCACATTCTTGGTCATAAGCCTATCCTTGAGGGCCCTCAAAGCTGGTACCAGGTCTTCCTTCTCCAAATTTGGCTTTCCGGCAATACTGAGCCCAAGAAAGTAGAAAATTAATAAATGGTGTAATTGGATAGTAAATTCAACAATGGTGATGATAAAAGCTTCCAGTAAAAGTTGTACAAAGCCCAAGTGAAACATGTTTAGGAGCATACGCTAATTCTTTTGCCACTTAGAAAAAAGCACAATAAGAGTCATCATAAAATGGGAAACAAAAAAGACTGTAAAACTCTTTGATGCTGGAATATATAAC